TTATATTAGTAGTCTGTGTAGTATACATTAGGCAGTTTTTAGAGGTATTAGTTTACTTTTTAGTTTATAGTAACTTAAAGTAATGCCTGTAAGTTGCTAAATAAGGCTTTATATAAAAGCTTAATAGTAAACATAGTATGTTCTAGTTCTAGTTATTCTTAACAGGCTTATATAATAGTAGTGTATAGTAAAACATTTTTTTAGAATTTTATTTCTAGTGCTTTTTATATAAGTGTAAGCTTATTAATTATTATTTTAAAAACTTTATATAAACTCTTATTAAAGTTTTTTTATTAGTATTATATAAAAGTTATTATTATTTAGTCTGTCTAGTACTAGCTATAGTTTACATTAGTGTTAAAGTAACTACTTAAGATGTTATATAAATGCTTCTAGTTATGTTTAAAGCCTATGTTATGCATATAGTACATATTTACATAACTTTTTAGAATATTTAGAAAGATGTTTATATACTAAGTTTTCTAAATATTTAGCTATTAACATAAATTAATAAAGATTCTTATTTTATTTATAAAGATGTTATATAGTTAACTTATGTAGTTATTATTTTTTTTTTATACTTTTTAAAATTATATAATTTTATTTACTAAGAGTTTTTCTTTAGTAGTTTTTCTTTAAAGTAGAAGTTTATATAAGTTGTAATATAGTATAGATTATGCAGGTAGTATTAGTAGTGCATACACTACTGCAGGCGGTGGTGTGTACAATTAAGGGTGTGGAGCAGGCGTTAGGTAGGGTGGCATGTATTGTTTGTACAGTAATTAGTGTAGTGCTAGCTAAAGTGTAAGAGCAGGTAATGCTAGTATGTTTAGTATTAATAGCAGCATTATATTTAGTCTACTTCTGTGTAAAGCTTTATATAGTAATAAAGGTTATATATAAAGCTTTTCTAGTGTAATTACTTTTTTTTATGCTATATTATATAGCTTCTAGGCTTAGGTACTTTTAGTGCCTAGCTATAGTGTAATTTTTTTATCTTTTAGCACTTATATAAGCTTTTTTTTAAACATATAGCTAAGTGCTAAGAAGTCTTATAGTGTTTATTCTTTAAAATCCTTTATATATACACTTAAAAAAGTAGCACCTTTCTAAGTTATTATACATAAATTAGTAATTATATAACTTATGTATAATTAAGTTTATAGGCTTATTAGAGCTTTTAACATGTTAATTTTATTATTTTAGTACTCTAGGCTAGTCTTATTTTATAGTGTTACCTCTAATATCTTTATATTTTTTATAAGTTATTTATATAATAGGAATTATTTCTTATTCTTCCTATTATTATGTAGAGTTATTAGTTGCTAGTAGGATTTTATTATAATAGTATAGTTAATTACTTTTCTAGTAAATTACACAGGTACTGCTGTTATCTAGCTGCTAGGTTATGCAGCTTTAATAGCTTTAGTGTGCGCCTTACACTATCTCCTCCTTACTTTGTACAGTAGCAGAGCTTGCTGTACAATGCAAAGGATTAATGTGCTATTATTTAGCTACTAGGTTGTATAGCTTTAGTAGCTTTAGTGTGCATCTTACACTATCTTCTTTTTACTTTATATAGTAGCAGAGCTTGCTGTACAATGCAAAGGATTAATCTGCTATTCTAAGAGATAAGTAACTAAACAAAGTACTTTATAAGGTGTAAGTGCTTTATTATTACTTTTCTTAAGGGATAAGTAATAAAACAAAGTGCTTTATAAAGTGTAGGGTTAATTGCTTGTGCAGTAGATTGCGCAGGTACTGCTGTTGTTATCTAGCTGCTAGGTTGTGCAGCTTTAATAGTTTTAGTGTGCGCCTTGCACTATCTCCTCCTTACTTTGTACAGTAGCAGAGCTTGCTGTATAATGCAAAGAATTAATGTGCTATTGTCTAGCTGCTAGGTTGTGCAGCTTTAGTAGCTTTAGTGTGCGTCTTGCACTATCTCCTCTTTACTTTGTACAGTAGCAGAGCTTGCTGTACAATGCAAAGGATTAATGTGCTATTGTCTAGCTGCTAGGTTGTGCAGCTTTAGTAGCTTTAGTGTGCGTCTTGCACTATCTTCTCCTTACTCTGTACAGTAGCAGAGCTTGCTGTATAATGTAAAGGATTAATCTGCTATCCTAAAGAATAGGTAACTAAATAAAGTACCTTATAAGGCGTAAGTGCTTTATTATTACTTTTTCTAAAGAATAAGTAATAAAACAAAGTACCTTATAAAGTGTAAGTACTTTATTATTACTTTTGCTAATTTATAGTTAATTAAATTAACTACTAATTAGTGTTAAATAAGCTCTAACAGCTAGCTGCTTATAGTATAAGCACTTAAGTAGCAAAAGTAAGAGTAGTGTACAGTGTGCACAGCATATAAGGTAGGTAAAGTAAGGGCAATATATTTCTAGTTCTATTACTCTTGTCTTTCCTCTGTACAGAGGAAAAGGGGGATATCTAGATGTTTGCGCACAGAGGTTCGCGCACAAGCATTATGTGACATAGATACGTGATCCTGCTCGTGCGCGATCGCTCGTATCCAGGCCGCGACGCTGCTGCTGCGTACGGACAGGCTAAATAATAATAGCTTAAAATACTTTACACTATTTATAAAGCTATTTACATAGTATAACTAGCTTATTTTAACATACAGCATTACTAAAGCAAGTTTTAATAAATAAAGTAAAGTATAAGTAAAATGTAACTAAATAAACTTATATAAATAAAAAGAAAGTAACTTATATAAAAAGTTACTAGTGTCTATACATAGTAGCAGTGTTATAGCCTAGATATAAGTAATTGCGCATAAGCAGAATTATGTATTTATGTTATATAATACTTATGTGTAAACCTCTATGTGTAAACATTTAAATATCCCCTTTTTCCTCTGTACAGAGGAAAGATAAGAGTAATAGAACTAAAAACATGTTACCCTTACTTTACCTACTTTGTACGCTGTGCACACTGTACACCACTCTTACTCTTACTACTTAAGTGCTTATACTATAAGCAGCTAGCTGTTAGAGCCTATTTAACATATAGTATATTACTTAAAAAGTGTTATATTTTAACTATTTAAAAGCTTAAAGTATAAGCTATATTTAATATTTCTTTAACATATCTAAATAATGTTATTTAAATGTGTTAGTGTAAAAAAAGTAGTTTAGTGTAGTTTTAGTAAAAGTAAGCAACTTAGGTGTGTAAGTAACTTGCCTGTGGTGTACGTTAACCTTTCTTTCTTTACATATATCCGTGAAGCTCTCATATGAAAAGCTTCTAGAAATGCGTTCCCATCTTAAAAGATACGCGCAGCATTGTCTATCAACAGCCTCAGCGATATCTCTACACACCGCGACTCCACCCTCCATGTGCCTCGTCGCATAATCCACCCCAGACTCCCATCCACAACCACAACCACTCTCACCATTTATCACGATCCAGTTTCAGCCCAACCTCCAGCGTAAGGCCGACACTACGACGCAAGCTCCATCCAGCATCCAGAACCCTCATATGTTCAGCATATAGATGAGGTTAAACGCGGGGCTGACAGCTTGATGTGATGACCGTTGTGACGGTCTGCCCGACTCAGGTCAAACGCCGCATCCATGTATCACAATCAGAAGAGGGGTGATGATTGGCCAGATCGTTTTGAGGGGGTCCGCCAGGAACAGGCGAAATTACAGGGTCAGAAACCACCATATGCATTAGACGCCGCTATGAAGTCCGTTCCCGAAGGCCTATCTACCCATCATTAAAGCCATCTCTCATCAATTGTTCGCAACGCCCAAAGCAAAATTCGGTCATGCGTGAAATCCAATTGCGCTATGGGACCTGGCAAACTCGCGCACCCCAACTGACCCTGTGTTCCAGCTTCACTGGCTTCTAGGTTTCAACGCCCACCACATTAGTGCAAGGTCTTCATGCTCTTTGTAAGGCTGTCCAATTAACATCATTTGGTATTTGCGCTATGGCTTTCCACGTGTTCACGGCCACCTCATCCTAACCCGACGACATCTATTGGCTGCTTCTATGGCGCCCTTGTATGATGGACCTGTCCACCGGGATCGTCACGAGATGAATCTATGGCTTGTCGGCGGTGACTGTAATTGCATGAGCAAGCGCTCATCATAGTGGACGTCGCAAGGTTTGGTGTTTCGAAGCATCGCACAAGCTTGTCCGTGGAAGGATAAAGTCCGTGTATCCCTCCATCTCATACCCCAACTCCTGCAGAGAGTTTATACAACGAAACATTCCTTATCCAACGTCCAAGTCGGCCGATCTTCCATTCCTTTCCTATACGAGTTTAAGACGTGTCTTGTTCCTTATCCGAAGCTACCGAAGCCTTTTGTAATCCCCATCTCTTCTTGCACGTATTACCGACGACATGTACAGACGTTCCATACTTCTTGTTACTACCTTTGCTCTCTCTATTCTCGCTGCGCCGGTTCCAGTTGCTTCTCCTGGCAGCCTGTCTGTCGACGAGGCAATCAACAACGGACCCGAGGTAATGTTAACTGTATGTTTATTGAACTTTTCGTTTGCTAACGATACCGTGCAGGTTATCGAGAGAGAGTTGATTCCTTCTGGTGTTATTAGCGCTGGTCAGAAACGAGACCAACCAGGTGGAGGATTTGTACCTGAAATTGGAGCCGATGGATCCGCAGTCGATCAGAATTAGGTCCAGGTTGTGATGAAAAGGGCCACTAAGTGCGGCGACATTAGTTCCAATGCGAATGAGTGTAGGTTTCCTAGGCCTTAAGTCTTCTAATTCGTAGGTTACATTATGAGACGGTCCCTTAGATTGCCGGTGGATTGGAAAGGATCATAATCGTTCCACCTCCAAGTGGAGACGAGTGGTGGACACTGCTTTCTCTTCGGCGAGCTGCATCTGTCCCATACCTAAATTTGATCCTCAACTACTCTTGTCTATTTCGAATGTGTTGTATTAGGTGGTAATGATGCTTAACAAATGCCAGGGTTGAAACTATCCCCAGATCGCGATTTACCCAGCTTCAGATCCAACCAGGCGGAGGCATGTTCTGTCTAACATTAAGCCTCGTTGGGGAAAAGAGATTGCCGGATACCCTCCAGCCCATCTTTGGGAGCAATTTAACCTTCAATTCTTTAGCCTTGGCCCGCGGGGTGCCTACTGCTGTGGAGGCAGTAATCTTCTTCTGCATGTCGTCTGGAAGACCGTATAAAAGAGTTGCAAGAGCGGAAGTTTTTCGAATGCCAACCTGTTCCATCTCCCTAGAACTCTTAACAATAGTACCAACAAGGAAGATCAAACTGAAAAAAAGAACGCCAAGAGGAATCAGAAGCCATTCCCATCGCACGGAGACATAAGTTTCCATACTAAATGCCTCCCCAGTGATCGATTCAGCGCTAGTTGATGATCGAATCACGTTAGTCAAGGCTCTAGCTAGCCTTTCTAGATGTTGCGTAACATTGTTGGGTGCTATCCAAGGATCGAATTCAAGAGTTCGCTGTCGGGGCCCCCCTCTTATGCCTATTTGGTTTCTCAAGATCGGAATAGCGGAAGCGTTGGGGACCGTCAAAAAAGAAGGGAGAATATCGTCGAAGATGAGAATGGTTTGCAGGGCAGTAAGTGGAGAAACTCCATAGAAAGATTTCCTATTACCTGTGCTCGGCGAATTAAGAGTGGTATTAAAGAGGTAAGTGTTTTGAGTGGCGTTGAAAGCAGTGCTATTGATTGTAAAAGAAGATCCCCAGGGAAAAGGTCCTGGAGTGGTATTGAAGAAGGTATTAGCCATCCCTTCTGAGTAATTCGCCCAGTAGTAGGATGACATGATTGTCTGGACGCACCAGGAGAGCATGCACTCGTGTGCGATCGGTGTTTCGTTCCGGTAAACACTGGCCGGTCCATTTGCAGCGCCTACAATCAAGAAATCTGTGATGGGATACCGAATATGTTTAAAGTTGATGGAACCCCCCCCCCCCCCCGAACAGTGGTCGCCTTGTCAGATCAACGAGTGGCAGAGTGCGCATGACCAAGGCTTCCCCTGGTAAAAGATTGACGGCATCAACGCTGTACCCCGACATAAGAACCGGAGCGTCGCTCGTCGCGTTTAAGAAGTACCCACATGAAGTTCCATTAGGATAGCTGGATTCAGTGCCGACTCCCGTTAGATTCCCGAACCAATCTATCCTAGAGGTGAGGCAGGCATACGTAAGGCTTTGGGAGATGCCTTCGCAGGCGCTGCAAATTCCAAGCGTCTCGTAGGGCGGCCAGGTACAGTTACTAGTGAGGCAGAAAAGAGGTATATTAGGTCTTGTTCCATTTCCCAGGGTAATTAGCTTCATGCCTTCGTTGTAGAAGAATTTTAACGCGGTCGCTTGGAGGTCTTGGTCCAGTTGGAGAATCGGCTTTCCAGCCTGGAACGAGTCACCGAAATGGGGCTCGTATCTAGTAACCGTGGGGATCGAGCTGTTCCCTTGCAACGTCCAACGACTAGGTAAATCAACCACCTGCTGAAAAAAGGGATCGAGAGTAAGCGAAACTAACGTCAGGGCTGCTCCAAGAGCTGCAAAAGTTCTATTGTCGAAGTGGTTAGCATCGGTTTTAGTTGTGCGGACTGTGGCCAAGTCAAGGACTACATACTTGCATTTCGTGCGGGTTAAGAGGAGAAATGAGCCCCATGGTCCCCTAGAAGCATTATCAAAGATCTCGAAATCCCACATCCTCTTCGAATCGCCTCGGAACCAGCTCCATTTCAATTGGCCGAGCGCCTCAGATATTGGGAAGATCAGGGATGCCGAAGCGATTTTGGATAGGACAGCAATATATGTGTTCAATGGCCACCTAGGCACCTTCTTACCGTTAAGTTTCCAAAGAATACCGACAATAGCAGCCATGCAGAGCGCCCCAATGATCCAACTGATAATTTCAAGCAACCATCGAGCGACAACATTTCCTGAAGAATTATATCTCCATAGCTTTTTCTCAATTCTTTGGGCAATATTTGGTAAAGAATCGTCTTTCTCGCGGATTACTAGATCGAGCGCAGCATGCGGTCGAATGGCTGGTGCATTTTTAATTCCAAGGCCTGACTCAGGGTAGCCACTGTGCCGTGTCCTGATTGTTTCCCACTTTTGTGGGAAATAAGAGGCCCCACTTCTGATGTGCTCCGGTGAATGTTTTCCTATAGATTGAGAGCCCGACGCTCTGTGACAGAAGTTTTTGGGCTGAAGAGGTGAAGCGACTGTGATGTATTGGACAGATCGTTCGCGGAAAGTGGTCGGCGATGGGGCATGGAGGCTTCCAGTAATATTTTTTCGCGTTCCGGGTTTTCTGGGCTCATCATGAGAGTCGAGATATATAGGAATTTGCGGATATCGAGGCCATGGAGATAGCCGAGATAGGGTCGACATCTCACTCCAAAGAGAAGGACCCAAAATGTGGTGTCGTCGAGAGTTTAAAGGCGATGACTTCAGCAGAGGTAAACTAAGTGTCTAGACGAGAAGATGTTCTCACTAGGAGCTTTCAACAAAAAAGGAGGACAAGGACGGATTGCTGGAATATGTACGACTCGACAGTGTAAGACTTAACGCTCAAAATTCTTTCTTATCGGATTCTGACTCAGGCTCAATATTTCTTTCAAGGTGCCATAGCAAAGAGGTATGTGGTTAAGTGATCTAAACGCTCGCAGGGTAAGGCAGTAAGTACGGTGAGGGGGCTGTAGGGTTAAAGAGGCTAAGCAAACATGGACGAAGAACTGCTTTAGGCCGTGCGTCGAGTTTTGTTTGAATAGAAAGCAAATACAGCAGTGTAGGATCGAAGGTAACGTGAAACATCCCACGGTGTTGTGATGGGAACTGTGCGGGCCATTATTCCAGAAACGGAGTGTAACCGAAGCGGTGTACCGATTAACATGAGATCTACAAGCGCGAGCTCCTAAAATTTCAAGCCAGAGGAGGAGGCTGAAGCCTCTTTTGTTGAATCTGGGGGGAAAAGTTCCGCCAGATAGCTTTATCCCGAGGCGTTGGAAACAGGTCAACCTTACAGGAGTTGGGATACACGCGCCGCCATCCGGGTCAGCCCATAACGCACGAGATATAGGCGCCTGAGAATAAAGTAGGAAGCACCTATGCATATAATTAGCTTTGAGCCGCCCAAGAAGACAGACCGGTCACGATCATATTGTAGCACAGCAATTGGGGGGCTCAATCGTCGAGCAGTCCTGAGACCAGCTGAGACTAACACAAAGAAGCCATTCCACTAAGAGGAAGCTTCGACAGAACCCTAACGAATTAAGATAACAGTAAACCATCTTGACCAACTAAGAGACAAACGTCAAACTACTTTTGTCTTGCAAATCCGTGGAAAGTTTGATATTCGGCTTCGAATGGGTCCAAGATGCCCAATTCAAGGGCAGAGGACTATAGCATTCAACATAGGGATTTATTTTGTCAACAGAGGCCGTATTATGAGCCAATAGAGGACGTTTGCCTGGGAAGGAAAGCGGGCCGGATTTTGGAGGACCCCACGGCACTTACGATTGCGGAGAGAGCTGGTATCAATACGTCCCGTTTACATGGAGACCATGTTCGGAGACCTCTATATTTAGGCAGCGGTCAGATCGCTAGCCGTCAAAAAGCCATTTCAGGATGGCTAGGTGAATGGCGTGGTCTAATTTGTTTCCCAGAGCCGTAAGATGTTGGATTGTTGGTACTGTAATTCGGGCTGGGCGCTTAGTCGGTTACTGCAGAAGCGCATGAAAGAGCCGCGTTGTTGGCATTTACAGGCTGGCGCTTGGTGAAGTAAATTGTCGCACTCGATGTCATGGCGATGGTATTGATTCGATATCATCTCTTCACGGGATCCTTGGGAGGCTGAAAGAAACGGAGCACATCTTTGACGCATGTGGAGCGGCCAATCTGGAGGCTTCTAGAAAATGCCAGGGGGCTGTCTGGGCAGTACCGTCGAGTGACACTCAAACCAAAGGAACTTTTTATAGTTGCTACGAGGCGAAAATTTTGACGCCGCATGGCTCAAAGGAGTGTGAGGCGGTTGGGCGAAGAGTGGAGGGGAGGAAGGCGTGGTAGGGAAAGGCAGGTGGGGTCCAACCTTAGGAAGAACACCCGATGATTAGATCTTAGCTCGGAATTCTTCCCGATGTGGTCTTGGCATCGCAGAATTGTTCTTCCTTCCGACCATGTTCTTGAACCCGCAGACTCGGAGGGAGAGTGACAAATCTGTGGACTGTGTCGTCGGAGGAAGTACCAGCAATTTTCTTCGCTCGCCCGCTCCCATTCGTGCCTGGGTATATTGCAGCCTTCTCGCCGAACATCGCCTCTTTCACCACCCCGAGAATGCAAACATGGACGCAGAGTCAGATGAGCAGCCCTCTTCGAAAGCACACCTCACGCGTCTGAGGCTTGCTCTGGGGCCATACACCATCCACTTCACCGACCCGGGCTACATCAAGGATGAGACGATGCGGATGTTGGAGCTAAACGTCTGTAAAAAGACGCTCGAGGATACACGGAGGAATTTTGAGCTTCGGTTGGCATCCCAAGCCAGCGCCAAATACATTATAGAGGCTAACTTTTATAGCGAGGAACTAGGCCTATCCTACCAGTTCTGGGATGACCTTGCTGGTGTCATCAAAGCTTCGATACCCTCACTCGAACGTCGCTCCTTCGCTGCACCTGACCCCGCCACCCCAGAATACGAAGGACTCTCAGGACCCCTCATCGCGTCATTCTCCTCCAGCCTGCTGAAGGATTTAGAGAGATTAAATCAGATAGTGTCAATAGCCCGGAACGTGCTCACATGTGGCGAGAAGGCGCAAAATCTTGGAGCAGACCGGCTTTTCGATAAAGATATATTTGCGTTGATCAATGTGTGTGTACGAGTGACTGCAAGAGGGTACGATGGCGAGGCAGGAACACAGGAGGAAGACAAATGGCAGAACGTCATCAACGCCTGTAGGTGACGTGTTCATTTCAAGCTTAAAGGACTGACTGACTGTTGGACTGCTAGACAAGAAGCTGCTCATCACCTGCCTCCAGTTCCTCAACAATCTCATTGCACGAAATGAGCAGCGGAAGTTAATGCTCTGGATCGAGCTCTTTGACAGCCACCTTGAGAACGAGCTACCAAATTTTTCAGACATGAAGTATAAGATGGACATGTTTCCACATTACGACCGAACCAGTAAATCCAAAACAGATCCCACAAGCAGTGGCCAAAGGGCCGGTAATGGACTAGAATCTTTCAGGATTCCCCAGCAACCTGCATCTTCACCATTCCTTCTCTATATTGGCGAGATAGGCCCAGAAGTAAAGAAGTTCCTTGCTCAGCAAGGCGAGAAGACAGGAGCCACCGAGATTGCTGCCGAATGTAGGAGACGGTGGCAGACTATGGGTGAGGAGGAGAAGAATGTGAGTGCTTTACCAATATTCTAGTCATGAGCTAAGAGGTATAGAAATGGAATATGCTCTACGCCGACGTTGTCGCTAGATATCGGGATGAAATCACCCAGTCCAGCGCATATAAGAAAGTCGTGGACCAGCATGCCAAGAATGAGGAGAGCGTCCAGGCTCTTGCACAGAGCATCAACCAACTTCAGGTGGAAGTCGATCGGATGCGGTCGTCAGTCATTGCTTCTCCAGACTCTTCCAAGGCCGACCCATCAAAGGCCGCAAAATCGGAAGACAAGCGGCCGGTGAGACCTTCAGTAGATGACTCAATATTCGATCCCACGATCCGACGATCTTCTCCCGCAGGCGACAATGACTTTCGTGTAACTTACCCACCATCGTTTGGCGCTGAAATCCTCCAGAACGGCAAGGAGGACCTGCTGAAGCGCCTCGAGCCCGATCCCGATCGCCCAGCGGCCGCACTAACAACGGAGGTAGCGTCTCCAACTTCGCCTCCTGCTGAGGAAGATGATAATGACGATGAATACGATGATATTCCCGGAGATGATGGTCGTGGCCTACTTACTGACGTTCCACTTATTCTTGGTCCTACCGAAATCGAGGTCTTGCCGATGATTATTATGGCCGGTATTGTCGAGCCCACTGAAGGCCAGTCTGGTTATCACGCCGATCCAACCGTCTTCAGTAGCATCAGAAGCATGCATAGTGTGCGATGCCATCTTCTCTTAGCCCAAGACAACGGACGAAATCTCCTCCGAGAGCTTTTGATATTTGTTGCAGCCTGGGACCTGCGTGAAGAGGAACTTTACTTCAAATTCATGGTCAAGATCATGGAAGCAATTCTGGCTAACCAGCTATTGCCATTCGCGTACCACGCCTTCCGAGAATCAGAGTGAGTATTACACTGCTTGAAGTGGAACCTTCCTGACGTGCGCAGCAGGTCAAAAGATATCATCTCCCCAGCACAGGCAGTCATTATGAAGCTCTTGACCAACATATTCCGAGCACGCCAGGCTCGGACACCATCCAGAAACCCGCTAAAACCAAGTTTGACGCAAGTAGACCAGGGAGATGCTCACATGGTCAACTTCCTTCTCACCGAGTTCCGACGACATATTATCCCCCAGACCTGCGCACTCATTTTTCTACAGGGACAGATAAGAGCTGGAAATGCACAGCCCGATGACTTTCCCCTGAACTTGTGGGATATGGAGAGGATGTACGAGGGTGTATATCAGTACTTGGAATTCTTTGCTATTCTCACAGAACACGAAATCTGGAAGAATATGCTCAGCAACTGGGAAGTCGCCAACGAGCTCGTAACCCTCCTCAAAGAACTTGACGCCGCGATTCCCAAGGGCCAACTAGCCGTCCCACCGCTCGCAACGGGAGCCAAAACCCCCGCACAGGCACAAAATCCCCAAGATGAAAATCTCCCTCAGCCCGTCGCTGTCGAACGACCTTACGATACCTCGGCCGGAGCCGCCGCGCCAGAAGGCTACATGCCCTCGCCTCGTCCATACATTGATGAAGCGCAAGACGAGCCGTCGGACTTTGAATGGCGAAACCTCAAGAAACTCGCAGTTCTGGTTCTCTCGTCCCTTGTCTGGAAGAACCGCCAGGTGCAGGACCAAATCAGACCACTGGGTGGTATTGAAGCTGTGCTCAATTGCTGCAGCTACGATGAACATAATCCGTATATCCGCGAACACGCTATCATGTGTCTGCGCTTCCTTATGGAAGGGAATCGAGAGAACCAGGATCGGATTCGCGCGCTTGAACGGTATGAGAAGGAAAACGCCCCTTCTTCCCCTTCTCCTCCACCACCACCGGCATCTGCAATCGACTCCTTCACCCAACCATCAACTACCGCCACCGCCACAACCAACAAAATCAAGGTTAAAGTACCCGACGAAGTCCTCGACCAACAAGGTTACGAAACCTACATGGATAACAAAGGCCAAGTGATGCTGCGAAAACGCGAAGCAAAACCTCCAACCCAAGTGGCCCCCCAATCATCCACATCTCAAGGAAAGGCGAAGCTAGAGACTAGGGATCCAAAGGATTTAGAGCAGTTGGTGCAGCAGGTTATGCGGGAGTTGCCAGCGAGAGTGCAGGGCGTTAGGCTTGATGCGGAGAAGGCAAGTGCAGCGGCGCTGGCGAAGTTGGATCGCGGGTTTGATGGGGGAAAGGGCTGAGAGAGGATACTTGGACAGATGGTCCATAAAGACTAATGGAGGCTAAGAAGGATCGAGCTCGAGGTGGAAGCAGCTTTGAACGGACCGTACCGGGTCGTCGAAGCTTCGAGCCCCGGCTTCGAGGGGTGAGGGGGTGGGGCTCTTTGGAAGAAGAGAATGTTGCATCAGGTCAGTTAAACGTCCTGCATGTCGCTGTTTGGCTATTGCTGAGATGGCCGGAAATGATACAAATGAAGCATTTGGCTCGTTGTCCATGCTTTGAAGGGCTGCTCTGCGCTCATGCGTATGAGCACGAGCATGTCAAGATAGAATTTAGAAGATCTTTCAAGGTGATGCAGCATTTTCGAGCAAATCAGGTAGATGCCAGGCTCAAAAACTGCCTATATCAAAAGAATACCCATTTCTAAATGCCCAACCAATCCTAATGCAGCCAAACCGGGGTATCATAAGCTAAAATACATCATCCATATTCACATCTCTCACACCCACCGTCACCGACGCCGCAGCCTGTGTCTCTGTCCTCACACGCTCTACAACCCCGTTCTCCCTCGCTATTATCTCATCTTGTACAAACACGCCAAATCCGCTGAATGCCTCACATAAGGCTCGAGAGTAGAAATCCCGGAGATCATATCCTCCAGCCAAATGGTGGATGTCTGTTTTCGCGCCTGTGATGAAATCGACGTCATAATCAGGTTGCACGACGTAATACTGGGGTTCGAGACTCCACCCGCCGTATGGATCGAAGGGCTTCTCTGGCTCTGGTGCAACGCGTTTCTTTAGCCCGTGGAATCTGAAGCCCGTGTCGGCATTGCCCGCGGCGGTGGGTTCCGGTGTATCTGCCGCCGACGACGAATGGCTAACGGTTTTCCTTTGCACCCCAGATTTCTTGAGAATGACGCGCTGTGTGTCGGATTGGAGGTCTTGGTCCGCGGTACTGAGGACACGGCGCGAGGCGCTGGAATACAGGGATTCGAGTTCTGCTTTTTGCGCTTCTTCCCAGAGACGGAGGCGCCGTTCTGTAGCTTCTAGGTCTATCTTCAGGATGAGGTTCCAGGTGACGGTTTCAACGGTTTCGAGGTAGTTGTTGTAGTCGGCCAGGGTTTCGAAGTCGGATTCGGTTTTGTTCATTCTATGCACCCCACCCGCTGTCAGTAAAAACTCCAAGTGATATCAAGATGTCCAGGAACAAACCCGGGACTAGAAAGGACTTACACGCGAGCCACCCGCCGTCTTATATCAACCTCCCTCTCAACTTTTAAGTCTTCAAATGTCTGACTCCTAAACCTAGCTTTCCGTAGGGTCCTCTTGCACCCAGCGATCGGACAGGGCGCGGGTCCGTGACTAAAGATCCGGTCGACGCACGACTCGCACATTCGGTGGTAGCATTCTGGGTTTACGAGGAAGCGCATGTTGGGGTTGAGGTAGCGGGAGGATTTGCATACGGGGCAGATGTCTGTGGACATGACAAGTAAGTTATACAATTTTATAAGGTATGGGTTTTGGGACGGATCCACGTATATCTGTGAATTGGGAGGGTTTGTTGGATAGGGGACGTACCGCCATCTTCAGCAAGACGCTTCGTGGAAGTGCCACTTGCGCGTGAAGATACTCTTGACATTGTGGGGGCTGTGGGCGTGGTGTTGGTGACTACAGTAGCTTTCGAGGTTGAATTGAAGTTCAGTTATATGATGACTAAGCATGAACATGAAGGTCTTGGCAGTTTCTGAAATAGTAAAGGGAAGTAGACATCGAGAGGGTCCTTTGCAAGACCAATAGCGCGCTACAGTCACTTCATATCCCCCAATGGTCCCAGAATATGGTCTATTGTACGGATTAGCACGGTTTGTTAATTATCATTCAGCTCGGTTGTGTGATCTCGGGATCTGCCGTGCCAAGATTTCGCCTGTCACTCTTTCCACTCCGCCCACATTCCTTTCTTCCGGTTCCCCTCTTCCTTTAACCTTGCGCGTCTCTACCTAAGGCCTCCTGATAATTATAGAAGCCATGGCGGACTCAGGCGGCGAAGCTATGGTGAACCTCGAGCGGCACCGCCTGCGACTCGAGGAAGCTACGGCCAAGCTGCAGCAAGCTCTCAAGCACTGGAAGACGTGGGAGCTCGAATACGAGACACTGAAAGAAGAGATCCAGCACGCAAAGTCCCCTTCCCCATCCCAAATGCTTGCGATTGGCCGAGATCTCGGCGGCTCTCTCGTCAACGAAAAAGAAGTCGCAGAGCTGCTCGGCAAAGACAAGCAGGCAAAGCGCACAGCTACCCAAGTGGTTGAAATGATCTCCAGACGCGTTGACTATGTCCAGCAGAATGTCTCAACGGTCGAGAAGCATTTGCAGGCTGCAGAGAGGAAGTTAGAGGCTGCTGAGGTGCTGCTAGAGCCGGATATAGAGAATGAGGAGGGTTTGCCGTTGATGGATATTCAGGAAGAGCTGGATGAGGAGGGGAATGTAGTTTCGAGTACCGTGTTGCAGCCAGGGAAGGCGGCGCCGGAGATTCTGGAGACTCTCAGGAAGGCTGGGTTGAAGGATGTAGTACAGAGCAGTAAGAATGCTTCGCAAGTCGCGGATGTAAAAGCGCCCGCAAAGAAACCCCCAGCAACAACTACCAACGACCCCTCGAAAGCTGCGCCAAACGGGTCTACGCTTGCTGAATCAATCCCAACCTCATCGGGACCTGCTGCTAAGAAATCTGTCTCCTTCTCGGAAGACGCGAAGCCAGACCCGTCAACCACTAGGCCTTCTAGTCTCACCACTACTGGCTACAATGAAGATTTGGCAGCCTATACATTTAACAAGGGCAAGAAGGTCATCGAAGTCGACGAGGACGACAATGAAATTGTCTCGTACCCGATCATTCCCACGGACGAGTCTCCCCAGGACACCGCCCTCCGACGACAAATGCTACAATACAACCTAGATGAAGTGGGCCAAGTAGTCGCCGAGATTGACCTCGATGGGCCAGCAGAATACGACTCCGATGAGATGGACGAAGACTATGGTACCGAGGAAGATGAAGATGAGGTTGAAGACGAGGATCAGTATGGTCGAAGCACACGGCCAATGCTCACTGAAGATTATAAGCAGCAAATGATGGACTTGGAAAGGAAGCTAAACGCCAAAATGCTGGAAAATGTTGGGCCACGGCCTGATACACATCCCTTGGCCGAGTACGCAGACGACGTTCGCAAACTCGTGGTGCAGAAAGACGAAAAGAATGGAGAGCCCATGGTCATTTCAGAGCCTCTGCCGCAAGAAACTGGATCAAAGAAGAAAAGCGTACGCTTCGCTGATAATCTTGATGTCTCTCTTCCTGCACCCATCGAGGACTGGATGGAAATCAATCAGCCAAACACGCCTCACGCTCCCACGATCTCCGACACCATTATCGAACGGAGTGGTCCCACCCCTACACCAACTCCGACAATCCCCTCAAAGCCCACCAAAGTATCCCGCTTCAAAACTGCCCGATCATCTCAACCCCAGCCTCCTGCAGCCGCCCTCCCCATCCCAAACATCACCACCCTGCCACTAACACACCAAGGACCTCCCGGCCGCCCCCTCTCCTCCACCATCATCGAACACGCGCCTAATCAAACCCCTAGCCAACCTCCGGACGACCTCGATCCTGTGCTCTTAAGCCGTGAAATCCAAACTGAGTACCACAAGATGCGGAACAAAGTACTTCAACAACAAGACGGTTTCGCACTTTCAGAGGAAGACAAACATGATCCACTGATGGAGGAAAGGGACGGTAAGGTGCGGAAGGTGAGTCGATTTCGAGCGGCGAGGTTGAGACAGGAGGGTGTGGATGAGGTTTGAAAGCGGCGAGTCAAAGCCCATATCCAGATCCACGTTCAATACCATTCCCGTTCACATGCATATCCATACCCCTATCTCAGTCATCTCCTATTCCTCCGCCTTTCCTGTCCTCAAAGTTACCCCCTTTGCAGTGAGAAGTGAGGGAAACGGAACATTCATATGCCCGTGAGAGATACCTATCCCATGTATCTACGCTCACATTTTTACTGTTCCGAGATTAAAAGTGCATACACAGGGCTCTCTGACGTGGCGTGCTTGGCTTTCTGTGGTCGTCATGATTTATTTTGCCCTGTACATCTTTCTGTATTACCAGTAATACTTTTGTTTCAACGATGTTATTTTTTTTTGTTGTGTTATGAAGTCCCACCCGACTATGCTAACTAGAGTTGAAATGGGTTTTTACAGGGACGGAGACAGACACATGAGCTGTTAAGTGTAGAGATGCATTCGTTCCCGTAGATCGAGGGTGACCGTAGAACGGTGTCTAATATCTCAGGGTACGCTATTCGGTCTCCAGTCTTTCTTAAAGTTCGCACATGTGTGTGAATGAGCGTGCCAAGTCTTAGGTTTGACTTGCAATGCGCAAAATTGAAGAAGCACATGTGCATATTTGAGGGCCAGTGGCGCCGAATATATTCGAAACAACCAAGTCTCCCACCCATCCCTTGCCGCAAATACTACTGCAATTGTCAACAGACGCGCGGCGCTGAAATAGAAAGTTTTGCCCAAGTACACGTCCAATCTTTCCGGTGAATTCTCTACCTAGTTCACCCAATTCACCAGCCCAGTTTGCTCCTAGCTTCTGGCTCCTTGGCTCCGCCTTAGGCCCATCCATCTTCCACACTCAGAACACTATACTGCGAATTATATAGTATATGTGGCTAACCAAGTAAAGCCGAGAAACTAAGCTAGCTACTAGATTAGTGAACTCCGGATCTCGTATGCCAGGGTTAGGAGACAGTAACACCCATACTCTCCCTATATTGGACTAGATTGAATATACTACACCCACCTATTTCAATGAAGTTTTTAGAACTGCCTGCTAGTCCTATTGAAGCCGTCGATACCATGGCTCTACGGAATGTATAGCATGGGTCCTAGAAAGGGCAAATCCACTTGCCGCGATTTGATATACATTTAATGTTGGAGTCGAGCTGTAAGAGCGACAAATAAGTGGATGATGGATGATGGCGATAAGTTGCTGTAGGGCTGTGTGTTGAGAGTCAAGCCCGGGCTTAGTACTTGCTAGACGTTCAAAGAAGGGGGGGGGCAAAGTTACAGAGTTTTGCTTTAAGCCAAAGCGAGCCTTCGTTTAGAATTTTTAACTTCTAGCAGTGTTTCGAAGGACGCCGGCTATTAAAATGGCGTGTTTACTACAGCTCTCCTTGCCATGTTAGTTTCAACTTTTATTACAGGGTACGAATATTCTTATCATGCTATAAAAAGGCACGCCCTTGCCATGTCCAGATCTCCCTATAATAATTGGTTCCAACTCCCTCTTCTCTAGAATGATATCATCCAAATCCCTCGCCTCCTGCAGCTCTACCCAAAAATCCATTTGAACTACCTAAACACCAACTTCGCAGAAAATGCTATCCCATACAATATTCATCCTATATACTGCCTACCCCTGTTCCCCTCTCTTATAACCAATTCGCAGAAGATTTATATCAGACGCATAACCTTCCGTCGTTTCTTTCAGCTTTATAGCAAGATCTTCCTTGCGGATCAGCACGAGACCGACGGCAATAACAATGAACGGCAGGCAGACCATCGCCATACGCAAGAGTTCTAAGTCTGGATTTTGCCGCTTCTTCATGAGGCGGAAGAAGAAGGTAAAGCAAAATGCTGTTGCAGCGCGGATAGTGATCATAGGTCCAATGTATGCTACGAGGAAAAGCGGGATCTGTAAGGCGAGGAGGATGATTAGTTGCTTGTACTAATTTGAGGGAGAGGTGGAGAACTACCTTCCCACATCTGTCCGTGAAGAAACCACTACGCACTCTCCTGCGATACACGAACCACATCCGGATAAATCTAATCCAGAGCATAGAAGAGAGAAGTAGACATGCGCCTGCGTAAGCCGTGCGGCTAATGGCGTAGTACTGGGCATCTGGTCTCCCCCATCGAAAACCCTGTTTCACCATCATGACTATAAATGTGATGCGCTCAACGAAAAAGACAAGTAAGATGGTGACGGCGCCAATCATGGCAAATGGCCTCGAAATGTAGGAGAGAACGTCATTCTTCAAGTTGAGCCGCTGACGGATGATTTCCGTGTTATTCCATAGACACAGGAGGAGGAGGAGCTCCGCAAGCATAAGGAAGAAGCGAGTGGGAATGTCGATGGCGATGAAGGCGTAGGGAACAGTGAGTCGGAGTTCAGTGCAGATGCGGATGATGAGTTCGAATAAAAGATATCTAGTACGACAGTCAATCCTGAGATCTGGTGAAGAAGGTTTCACTGCAAACGAACATGATAAAATAGCAACAAATTGCTCCGGTTCCGCTTGATGGATGTTTCTTGCCTATTTCTTTGCTATCTGGGTCCTTAGGCTCGGCGATGGTGGGAACGCGCCAACTTATCAATGCGATTGTGAATAGGCAGATCATTGTAATCACAACAACTGCAATGGTGCTCGTCATGAACGCGTTCTTGAAGTTATGGCCCGGCAGGATTGTCTTATCTGTTGGACTCATTGATGATGAGTTCGTTGGCGTGGTCTCGTTGACCCCGTAAAAGAAAGACATGAAGAAGAAGATGCTAAACTTGGAGGCTACAGTCTAGAAGAAAGCTAAAGGATAGGAAAATGGGAGCATGAAGCATGTTTTAATCTTCTTGCCGGAATTGAGTTCCAGCCTTAGCCAAGACTTCCAAGGTGCAGCCTCAAGCGAGCATGCTCAGCTCTGCATTGGCATCAAGTCATGGTAGATGGATGCAAGACTGGGTCGGTGCTATGATTGGTCTGTGCTTGCCTAAGCTACTCTGTGGCAGTGAGAAAAAGCAGGCTCGCTTCTTAGCTCACACTATAAAATTCTGTATCCGCTCTTGAATTCCTCCGCGATTACGGCGTTTAGTCTGATTTGTAACAATATTTGAGTTAGCGTCCATTGTAGTCTGTGATAGGGGAAGGATAATAACAAGGGGTTTGAGGCATTGGCGGGTCCTTGGAGAATATAATGAGGAAGAGTGTACCGACTTGGAGGAAGTGATTTTGGTGGTTGAGCTCGCGAATTATTTTAGGAGTTCGAGGAGGTACGCAGAGGAGCTGGCAGACAAGGAATCGAGATAAATATGCGAAGGGACGCCGGAGTTGACAACGGGATATTGCTACTGTGGGTGGAAATCAGTCGTGGCTACTGCTTGCGGCGGTGGTATATGATCACGACGCGAAGGAGCTTTACGGTAACGGTGATTCCGATCTAGAGAAGAACGCAGAGAGGCCGGATTCCAGAATGCTAGCCCACAATCTAGTTTGGACGGCCTTTAAGGTGTGCTCAATTTGGACGGTGGTTGCGGGCTTGTTGTGCTCGTGAGCTGTGCACCCGGGGCTAGGTAATTAAGCATTCATCCCCTAAATCTAAGAACTGAGGAGGAGGAGCGGCACAAGACTATCTTTGTGCATTGTTATGGGCTAGTTGGTGGAGAAAATAGAAATGATAGAAGGTATCGAGGGTATGGTACTCAGAGTCCTCTAATCTAAGGACAAAATCCTTCCCTATTAAGCCTGGACGATACAGTCGCTCAGAGTGAACAGTGCGGTTAATCTCATGCCAATATTTTGATATTGCTGAAGTTGATCCGCTGACTTTCCGAACCAGACTCCGAAGCTATTTCGACTGACACCAAGAAGAGCGAGTGTCGACTAACGACCGCTAACGACGCCTTCACAACTAGGGTTCCGATCACGTTCTCGGGCCTAGTATCGATAGGTCCCCAACGTCTTCTTTCGAGGGAGAGTATTTGCTTTCCTATGAAATGTTAGCTCGAACCGAATCCTTAAGGGAATGAAATCATCTCACTTTCTGATAAGTCACACCCTCCACATGTTTTAATGATTTCCTTAGACGCGCGCCATCCTTCTGAAGCCCTTTGCCTAGTTTAGGCGCATCAAAGGGTCGCGAACGGGAACTCCTCATGAATGCAACATCTGCTACATCCCGTATAAGAGGCATTAAGATCGGACCATTTTGGACAGGCCCGACGAGATGGTACTTCTCCATTGTCTCCTTGCCAATAGTGACTTCCACGCCTTCGCCATAGTCGCGCTCTATGTATGGTGACATTTCAAAGCTAGCGTCCATATGTTTAGGCCCAAAATTGAACGTTTTGTCACGAGGAGAGCGTTTCGCAAAGGACCATCGTGCGTCGATGCAGGCTGAACCATTGCCATAAGAAGCTAACAGGGAAGGCGATATCGTATTCTGAGAATCATGACTGTCAAACGCCGCTTTTGCAAATATTTCATGCACAACGCCGCCCGCCATGATCTGTAGACAAATCCTTCTGATGGTATACTCAAAGATATTCTCCTGGGCCTTAGGTTTTTCAGATAATCCAGAAATCCAAGGAGCTTTGGACCCGACATAGCGGGATATTCGCTTCCAGAGTTTTCCATCTTCTGCCCCCGAAGTCTCAAAATGACTGGCGTCGCTACTAGATTCCGTCTGGTGTTCGGTTTCCGGGTCTGCGAGGGACAGATCCGCAATGAAAGTATCCTCACCACCAATTTCTAGTGAAGTGTTATCTAATAAGGAAGCTTGAGTGATAGGTTCTAGTGCGTCGTTGATATTGTTGCGATCGTGCTCAAGATTGGAGGTTCCACGGGCTGTGACCCCGGCATCTTTGCTCGATTTTATGGAGGGCTCAGTTATCGGGCTAAGCGGAACGTTCGAAGAGGCTTGGTGGCGAGTTACGATAATAGATGGTATCTCGGGAATAGACAGAATAGATGGAGAAGAACCTTGCTCCAAGGAATGTTCAAGACTCTTGATGTCGCCTCCCGTGAAGGCAGGGACTAGCGGTTTTCTCAGGATTCCTTTCATGCTACTGTAGACATCGTGGGCGGCCATGATGTATGCGATTCCGGTATTTTCGGAAGCTGCAACAATATATCCGTAGAATGTTCCCGTAGTACTATCGATAATGTTGGTGCCACAGTCGCCAGACTGTAGGCTCTCATTGGGGTATAAATCGAGATTGACTTTGTATATCTCTTGGAAAGAACGGCCATACGGAAGACGCATATAAAGTGGGCTTTCTGACAGCGTTCCGCGTATACGACCATGAGGAGTATAGGCAAGCACGCTGGTAGCCTTAGACGAGGGGGCTATTGATGTACAAATGAGGTCCAGGTCTGGAAGGTCAGGCTTAGGGGAGGTTGTAAGGAAGTCATGTACATTCTTGTCGAGAATGCGGATTATAACCCAATCTTGATCAACAGAAGACTTCACTACCTTGCCTAACATTTTGAGGTTGCTAATAGAAGGTACTGGGGAATGGGCTGGTTTGAGGCTTGGAGTTTGCTGTGATGCCTGGGAACTGGAAAGAATAATCGCGGGATCCAGTGATTGCTCCGATTTGGAAAATAGTTGAGGAGAGGCTGACTGGGTTGTCTGTGAAGCTGGAGTGGGGGAAAGACGACTTCGTTCTGATCGCTTGTCGGATCCAGAATCTTCCGCTTTTGAGCTGATGCTTCCCCGAGACGTGATATCAACATCTTCTTCATCATCATCTTCACTTTCCGTGTCGTCGATGATTTCGTAATCGCTATCACAGTCTATCGTACCTTTCTGGGGCTCTATTAAAGTACCCGGTATCAGAACGTGGGCCACGGAAAGGTATCCAAAGTTATTTCCATCCCATACTGCATTTGCCGTAGCAGAACGAATCGATCCATCGTCGAATTTAACGTAAACTTTCAGGCCGCAGTATGCGAGGCCAGCAGAGGGATCATAGAATATATCCTCGAGTAAGGTCTGCGCATGGGGTGAAGTTGATGATTTTGAATCTGTTGCCGGCTGAATAAGTTTGTCGATTCCGGGCGGAAACGCCTTATGCCCCGCTTTAAACCCAGGGTGTTTCTTCAAGATCTGACTTCTCTTGATAGCTTCCATTGCCATTTTTCTCGGACCCTCTTCTTGACAGTGAAACATGATTGTTGGAACTGCCTTTTCCTCGGTGCTCCCAATCATGTAAACCCCGAACCATAGCCACCCTGAGTCAAGCCCGCTGCAATAATCATCTAGCAGTTTCGTGATATCCTTTGCTAAATCTTGAAACTCTTGTTTCGCTGGCCCCACGGCTTCCCACCAGTAGTCTTTATTATGAACTAGGCCAAGGCTCGGGCCGATTGAGTCTTGTGGATTAGGGTAACCCTTCGAACGTCGGACTCGAGTTACTGCAGATGGTAAAGAGAGGATCATGGCATGAGGACTCGGAAGGATTTGTGTCTAGGAACGGGAGGTCGATACATAGAGTTAGTGGATCGATGTTGGATGGAAGGATAACCGTGGATACCTTTCGTGGGGATTGAGTTCGACTGTCTGTTGTGACTTCAGCCTCACGCTAGCATGTTCAGCTTTGCAATGATATCAAGCCGCTGCATCTGGAACGCGCGCGGTTGGACGCCACGCTATGATTGGTCTGTGATTTGCTTGAGCTGAACATGTGGCTAGGAGAAAAAGCACCCATGCTCTGTTTCTTCCTCCACGCGTCCGTCCTGTTCGATGAAACATCTGTCATCCATCAGCTTTTCGTGCAAAATCTGTATCCTATTTTGCATTCCTCAGTAATTAAAGGCGTTTCATTTGATCTGTCCAGAGACGATTGTTGGGCTTTGTGCTGTAAAACCAAAAGCGAAAGCTAAACTGCTCTCTTGCGGCAGAAATCAGAATCAAAGGAAGTTATACCAGACATTTCATCCCGAGAAACACGAAAAATCCCCAGACCATGTCCTTAAAGGATGACCTCACAACCGAGACCTCCGACCAAGTTCGGGGTAAGATCATTCACGTCCTCTGGAACCGTAAATCAACGGTGAACCTGCAACAAAATGAGCTGGACTGGGATGCGTATTTCGCCTATTACGCAAGAGAATGCAGGCAGGCTTTACTGATTTCCCAGGGTCGGTACATCTCGGCAAGGACACATGAGGATATTACCTCGACTGCCAGACTGATCGAAGAGCTGAACACCAAAGACGCTATTAAGACTGTTCTTCGTGCAAAATTAACGAAGGTGTGGCCTAAGGAGCAAGAGGACGAAATGCTGGAAGGATCGATAAGACTCGCCGCTCGCCTCCTTGTGATGTTGGATATCGGGCCATTTCCGAAGGCATTTTCGGGACGACCGTTCCTAGTTTGGGATGAGAAATCCCTCAAAGATTGTGCACAGGGCTACTTTAACGCCTCTTCGTTGCGAGATCACGGGGATCTCAAGCTTGAGCCGCTGTTTACGGCGCGAAATCTCTGCCGTATTGGAGGAATTGAGATTGCGTGGACAGATAATCTAGCAGATCACCTGCATTTCATCGAAGGCGATCGAAAAGTCCGTATCTTTCACCATGCGTCTTTTCTCAAATGGCAACAAAGGTGAGCCTTCCGCAAATGCTGCACAATCCATCCGCTGATGTCTGCTCCCAGTCAAATACTGCCTAAAGGCCTTGCTGAGGAAACACTCAATACCCTTGCCCTTCTCTTCCCACAGTCTGAAGTCGAGACAGAGAAGTGGTTTGAGTCAATGGTCCGTTCAAACTCGGACTCCATTCACCTTGATCGCCAGCTCGTCAGATGCGGCCAACTAAGGACGGAAAGACGACAGTTTGCGGATTTTAATTTCTGGCACGATAGGTTGGTGATTCTGAAACAGGTCTTCGATAAATCTCGTCCTGCAACGATGTCGCAATGGTGGCATGATAGAAGGAACGGGGTCCAATGGTACACATTCTGGGTTGCAATATTAGTGTTGTTCTTGACGATCTTCTTCGGCTTAATTCAGAGCATCGAGGGTGCTATGCAGGTATATAAAGCATATCATCCGTCAACATGAGTGTGAATGCCTGCGACACGTCTCTGATGTCAGGCACAGACAAGGACACCCACCTCTCGACCCTAGTAAATAGCGTGGCTAAAGGATCGGAAGAGATTCATTGGCTTCGAATCTAGAATGAGATGGAAGAGTTGCAGTGGACGTGGGGATCTTGGAGTCATTGGCTTTGGAAAGTCCGACCAGGCTAATTACATATATAATCCTATGTGTATCATATTTTCCTATCCATTACTACAAATTCCTTCACACTTTGCCCACCTTTTGGAGATCACTTTTCCTCATTTAGTATCATCGAATAGTCTGCTAGTCTAACAGAATTGGGCTTGCATTGCCGTTTCACGACTGAAACATTGAGACATACCTTCCTCCGCTTTACGATACAGGTAGGACTCAGCTACAGTCTTGAGACAAAAGAGTGTTTTAAAAACATAGAAATAAGTAGGGCTTAATAAATTCAACCTTGTAAGCCCCCTATCAACTAGTCCAACTCTAAATGTTGTACTACTTGACCTACGCCAATTTGCATGGACAATTTAGCCTATTCACACCATCTCTCGATATCATTGACTAAAGCAGCAAGATAGGCCAAAATATATCCCACAAGTGCTCTAATCTGCTTAACGACTTCCTTCCCGGCGATCATGATACCTTTGCCAGCTCTTGCACCAGGAGTGTCCAGCATTTGCAGAAACACACGAGCTATCTGCTTCATAGTATGTGTGATGCTCAACAAGGCCCAGTAGTGTTGAATAAAAGCCCAGTCCACTTCGAAAGTCAGGAGTGCCAACCCGGCCGTGAAGGTGTTCGAAATAGCAGAGCCTTTGGCGATTGACACGATGGGAAAGAGGGAAAGTGCTGAAAAGAGACCACCGTCGACGTTTGCTAATGATTATGCTGTTCTCGTGATGAGACTCCCCCCCCAGGAAGCACATAGGAAAGATGAGATGTTCAGACTGCGGTAGGTCTCAGTTTAGATATCATTGAAATGAAATAGGTATTCCGGCCCAGATACTAATCGTTACCCTAGTTGCCACAGATCACTATCCAAGCCGATCCATCTAACCAGGTACCAAAATCAACACCTCAGCTAGATACTGCTGTATGAGGTCACTATGGCAGCATCCTATGACGCTAGTCCGTACATAAGTGCGCCAAGACGGAGAGCCATCCCGCAAACGGAGTCATTTCGTTTCAATCATCACCAGTCATTCAAGCAGCACATCACAGTAAATTCAAGAAGCTACTCCACTTTGCTAGTGGAGCCAACCAATCACGGAAGAAGTGGGATCTTCTTCACCCAAGCCTCTGATTCCCGCCCAGCACTCTGATCATCTGCCATGATGACAGACCGAAGAGAAGCAGCTTGCGCTGTGATCTCTGCAACTGTGAGATCGCGAAGCACGCCCTCGGGCTTGCAGAATGTCTGGAAGATTCGCTCGAAGACATATGGACCTATGAGGGTTTAGTTCTTGACGTCCCGGAACTAGCTTGCAAAATGAAGTAGTACAACGTAGGGCAGTGAAGGGTAAGGCGAGAAAGAGAGCTTCACGCAAAACATACCAGCAAATTCCCTCAACCCATCCACTAAAGCCGTCATCTGCTCATCCGTCCAATCCCTCTCCTCATCCGGCGAAGCACGAAGATTCGGTAGCGTAAGGCGATTACGGAAGAGAGGCAGACGCTCAAACCTCACTCCATTCGCATCGCGCTCTTCAAAGTCTTCGATAGGCGTTATGTGGAGTCGACGGTGTCTTGTGGGCTCAGGTTCACATTGCATACGATGAAGATGTAGGTCTTGCCACCGGCTCCACCTCTGATTCCGAAGCCTAATGGTGTTGGCTATCCTCTGGTTGATTCTATCTTGCTCTTGGTATTTGGCGAGATATTCCTCTTCTATCCTTTTTAGCCTTTCGTTGTTTTCAAGACGGCCGAGCTCGTCGCGGTACAGTTTCTCAACTTTCCGGAGGGGCGCGATGATGTTTGATTCGATGTTTTTCGTCATGCCGTCTCCTTTATAGCGCTGGTCTATCTTGATGTGCCGCCAGGAAGCTATCATGTCCTTGAATAAGATAATGGCATTGATCAGTGGAGCAAGAATGCGGAGAGTTTGTAGAGAAAGCACGGATTCCCCATACGTCGCTTTCGTCCACTCGTAAACGCTCCCAAGGAATAGTACAAGTGAACGGAAGAGAAATGCATAAGCATCACCCTTGAAGTTCTTTTGATCATCTATGTTTCTGATGCGGTGAGTGCTGGCAAGCATTTTCCGGATATTTTGAATCGTGTCGATAACCTCTTTTTCCGACACATCCTCACTCTCCACAATCTTCCATGCATCTCTGCATGCACGCCTGATCTTAAAGCCGTCGCGGGCCTGGCAGTTTCCCTTTCGCTTCAAAGAGCTAGCGAATTCAATAATTTGATCCAGTCCGGCGGGGTAGGTTGTGACCTCCTCGTCATTGACCTCTTCCTCATGGCCTGGGCCAGGCTCTTGATCCTCACTAGTCTCCACATAGTCTTTGACCGGCTCAACTTCCTTTGCGTCTTGTGGTGGACTACCTGATTCATAGAGTGACAAGGTTTGGGCTAGCTTATCGCGAACGCTGAGAGTTGTACGAGCAGCATGTCTCCCAGATGACATTGGTGGGCTAGTCTGGGGTGTGGGAGATGGTAGCTCGGGAACGAAGAGGGATTCCTGCCCCTGATCGATTGGGTGAGTTGTCCTTGAATCCTTTGCCAGGCTTCGATGCTTGCGCCGGGGGTTTGGTTGACGTTTGTCATTGTTGGAGTCTCCTTGGTGTTCGGGTGTCATTGATGTATCGCTGTCTACTGTTTCAACGTCGGCTGGTTCCTCAGGGGGGTCTGGTTCCTCAGGGGGGTCACTTTTGTTTTTGCGGGGTCTGCCCGCACGTCCTTCAAATGACCTGGCGATTGGTGACGGGGTCTGTCGCCCTGAGGTTCCTTTAGGCTGAAAAACAACCTGTGGATATTTAGTCTTCGTTAGTGCACTTGTGTGCTTTCCTCCCCCGGAGTGTCTGTTCGCTTCTGCTATCTGTGCTACTTCCTCGTCTTTTCTTGGAAATTTCCTCGGTCTCTCGGCGCTACTAGGTGGGGCAGACGTTTTCCTCTTGAGGCGCGGGCTCCTCGGTGCATTAGCCTCTGGCCTTTTCTCCCAGTCTACTTTTGCTATATCTGCTTCCTCACCCGCAATTCGCCCACTTCTGCGGGGAGTGTGGCTTGAGATTGGATCGCTCTTGCGTCGAGAGGATTTAATAATGTTGACATCCTTGACGTGTTGAGAGCAACGCAATCCTCCATACGTTTCAATATGGCCCTCGTGAGAGCATTGCTCACCGGCATGATCGTGGATGCTCGAAATGATGGTTCCGGTACAGCGGAATCTTCCATCCGGAAATTGCATTTCAATAGTGGTGGTATTAGGTGGTCTTTCTAGTGGCGGGGAGGGTGTGTGTGTGTCTTCTTTGGCAGGCTCAGCCTCGAATCCTTGGGGTTCTGGTGCGGGAAGCGATTCCGCAATGACCTTCTTCCCTCTTTTCGCCATTGGCTTCTTTGTGACCTTCAGAGGTTTGTGGTTCACCCTCTGTGGGTCTTTATACGGGCCCTTTTCTGGGGATTCGGGATATTCGTACACGTCGGGCCTCCTGTCCATCGCACGCCCGTCTCGAGACAGCTTGGCCAAGTGGTCGGCATTAAAGTTCGGCGGCTTGAGCTTGCCCGGCCGCTCATATTTCCCCGTGTTCTGCGGAGGGCTGCTCTGCAGGCCGTTTGTTCGGGTTTGCTTCTGATTAGGGAACGGTCGCATCACCTGAGCGGAAACTGGACGTTTCTCCACACGAGCTGCGTTGAGCAAGCTCGCCCCTTGCACAGCAGACCTCTTGAATAGAGGCGGTCGTTGTACTGAAGGAGCGTCTGCCTCTGCTTGCGCCCGCTCGTTTATCTGCTTCAATCCTTCCTGATCGTCTTGCGGAAGGGCATGGCTTATCTCGCTCTCGATGCGGAGTTGTTGGTTTGCGGAATCGCTATCATCGGAAGCTCCCACGCTGGGAGGCGAGACTACAGAGGCTAGGAGGACTGTTAGTAATATACTAGGAAGGAAATACTGTGGGAGAGGCAAGCGCGGGTGGCTATTGCAGTGCGAGACTCCGGAGAAGGCTAGCCGCTGCAGTGACAATTCGAGGGATGGAGGCACTTCATACCTATCTTCCTCACTTTCGCCATTCTGGCTGCCTCTAAAATTACGATTGGGACTCGAAGGAGTGAAGTATCGCACCATGGTGCGGTCGCAAGGTGGAGCTTGGCCAACGCAGGTGGCCCGTTGTTGGTTGGCCAACGCGCCGTCACGGGGCTGGGACTAGCTTGGGTGAATGCCAAGACCATATGAGCATCATCGTCCTCAACTTCACCACTCCACAATCAACATGGCTTCGTCAAGACAGCTTTCTCTGTCTCTGCAGGTCCTCGGGTCTGCATCAGATCGGAAATATACTCTCCCTGTAAAGCGGATCCACGATGGCCACGATGTATCATTCTTCCTCACTAGCAAGGCCTATGCAGATATCCTGACGTTCATCTTCCAATTAAATGAGGCTATGTTTCCCCGGAAAGCCGAGAACAGCCAGCCAGGTTCAGAATCGGTCAAATCATGGAGTTTACAAGACCCAGATCTCCGCCTTCCACCGGTCGCTCAGAGTCTTGCCAAGCTTCTTGAGACATTAAGTGCCATCATCGAGGAAGCACCGCCGGACCCAGGACCGCGTCGGTTCGGCAACGTCAGCTTCAGGAGTTGGTACGATATGTTGAAGGAGAGGGTTCCCGACCTCATGGATCAATACCTCCCCTCCGAGATTCTCACCCCAAGTTCTGGCGCTAAAGTGTCAGCAAAAGCAGAGCTAGAAGCGTACCTTCTGGGTAGTTTTGGAAGCGCTCAACGTCTCGATTATGGAACAGGCCACGAACTGAGTTTCCTTGCCTTCCTTGGTTGTCTATGGAAACTTGGCGCGTTCCCTGAGACAGAAGACGGAAATCAAGAACGAGCCATTGTTTTGGGAGTCGTTGAGCCGTGTGTTTCGCGAATCTCCTCTTCTGTCCTCTCATTGACGGGTTTGCAGCTATTTACAACTGATCCGGCGTCTAATCTTAACATATACTCTAGAACCAGCAGGGTCTCACGGGGTTTGGGGCTTAGACGACCACTCCTTCCTCCCTTACATCTTTGGATCGGCACAGCTCTCACCAGCCATATCTTCACCCGCTGATATTGTTATGGAAGGATCCGCACCAGACGCACCAAACCCTGCCGACGTGGCGAAAGCAAACGTCGTCCAAAGAGAACGACAGCGCAACATGTATTTCAGCGCTATTGGCTTCATTTACGATGTCAAAAAGGGTCCGTTTTGGGAGCACAGCCCCATCCTGTTCGACATATCCGGTGTCAAAGCAGGATGGGCTAAGATCAACAAGGCAAGTGCGCCCCCAGCCTACAGGCTTTCGCTGTGTTGACATTGTGGCAGGGCATGTTGAAGATGTACAATGCGGAGGTTCTGTCGAAATTCCCAGTGGTACAGCACTTCCCCTTCGGGTCGCTCTTCGTCTGGGAAAGAGACCCGGCGGCTGCAGAAGTTGCTCAAAGTGTGCACACGGCAAGCCAGCCGTCGAAGTCATTACCAACTGCGGGACGGCAACCGCCATTGAGAGATGCACTGGCCGAGTCAGGTGCGCAGAGTAGCCGCGCACCGTGGGGTGGAGGGAGTGGAATGCCGGGTAGAATAGCAGCCCCAAGGGCCCCGTCACGTGTTCCTTCGAGGCCACCTGTGTCCGTTCCCAGTGGACCAAACGAGCCCACAGGAGCACCATGGGCATCTTCAACACCCTTGCCTCCCGGTAGTGGAGGGACAACAATAACTGCGCCGTGGGCAACTATGGAGACATCTGCTGCAGCACCTGCGACGACACAGGGTGCGGCACCAAGCACTCGGACGTGATGGGCGGACAAGAAGCCGCAGAGTTAGAAAAGGAGAAGCTGGTCTTCAATCAACGAATGTTGACGATGATTAAACGGAAACATCCAGACGCACTGCATGGGGCGGAGTAAAGGGTTTGGTCAGCAGCAAACGTGTTCTGAACGGCTTCTGTCAAGGCAAATGGAAGGGGGGGGGCGGGGCGGTAGATTCATATGAATGGATGCATTCGATATCGACTCGCGTGTCACGGAGGTTGCGGAGATGGACCCCTGTCTTGTGGCTGCACAAGGCAGTGCTTGTGGCCCCAAGTCGTGATATCAGTGATGCGGAGGAGGTGAAACACAAGTCTCAAACAGCGTGCGCACCCGGCGACACAGGCCGCTATTTTTGGCGGAAAATAGCGCAACAGTGGCTGTTTTCTGGCGTGCATTTCATCTGTGGGGTGTATCGAAGCGAGTTGTCATTGGCCAGGCGTAGGTGACAGGGAGCCAGAGCCGAGCTCGACCGTCGCGGCTGGAGCTTCCTCGATGCCGAAGCATCGTCCGTACACTCACTCTTTAACCTCAACCCGTGGACCACTCCTTTGCTGCAACCTCAATTGCTCCTTTTGTTTGTCCATTGCATCTTTGTACGTATATCTTCCGGTGCTCTCACCGCCGAGCGCCGAACGCTATTTGTTGCAGGAGTCCAGCTCACCCGCTGCGTGTCTAGAGCTATCACGCAGCGTCGCCATCATGCCTGGAGTCCGTAAGTAAAACACCTTTCACTCTCACCATCCCCATCAAAACTGTTTGCACCATGAGCACCCTGGTGTCCTGCCCCTCATGCACCGCACCTGCCTGCAAAAGTCCCGCCCTGCTTGGGGAGGACCGCACCGTTGCTGCCTTCCTTCAATACCCCAAACAACACACCCTCCCCCTCTCCGATATCCACAGCCTCTTGCTCTCCACGTCGCAGTATCCCGCCTCCAGGCACTATATATGCGGCGCATCATCTTAAACCGCCTGTATTGACACATCCGTACCATTGCAGCACCCGACGCGCTCAACACCATGAAGAAGGCCTTCAAGGGACTCTTCAAGAAGAAGAGCAAGGACAAAAAGGACGAGGCCAAGCCCACGGCCACGGCCGACGCGAAGCCCGCCGAGACCATACCTGCTGCAGCGGCTCCAGCAGCTGCCCCGGTTGCGCCAGCTCCTCCGAAGAAGGAGGGAGAGGCTGCGCCAGCTGCGCCAGCTGCGCCAGTGCCTGCTCAAGCGGAGCCGAGCAAAGAGGAGGCTGCCGCTTTGACGGAGCTGAAGAAGGCGACTGAGAGTAGGTCAAGTTTCATTTCCATACCTAGAAAGAGTGTTGTCGATGAGGAAGCCTGGAATGGGTCGAGGTGGAGGCAGAGGACAGTCTCGAACGGCGACTGGCCGAGGCGTGCTTAGGACCATGAGAGTTCTAGGACACTCTTGTGCGTTTGCAGGAGTCGAGCAGCCGTCTCCGGCAATCCTGCCTCGATACAGATCTTACGACTCTCCGACCGCGATAACCAACTCGACATCTGCAATTATCTTTCTTGATACCTATAGACTAACAATTTGTTGTTTCAGCCCCCGAGCCAGCCGGTGCTGTTGCTCCTTTGCCTCCAACTGCTGCCGCAGCTCAACCGCCGGCAACCAGCACTGAGACTCCGGCCGAGCAAAAGACCGTTGAAGCCAAGACGACCGAGGCCCCTGCAGCTGCTACACCTGTTCCTGCACCCGCTGCCAAGGAAGAGCCACCAGCGATTCCGACGACTAAGCCTGCGCCAGGGATGAGTGCAACAAGTGGTCCCTTGGACGACACCCTGGACTTCACGGCCGACGCCAAGGAGGAGCCAGCCCCGACCCCCGCCGCCCCGGCTGCTACACCTAGCCCCGAGAAGAAATAGATGTGTTTAGACGGACCGGAGGTGGATGTCGGAAGACGAAGTTTTACACGCGGAAAAGCTTAATTTCTGAGTGCTAGACCTGGATTACGAGCTTACCATCGACCGAACGGCTACATGACACCCTTGCTCGGCCTGTCTCGGCCTTTTATCATCCAAGTTCTTCAATAAAAAAAAATCCAAAAACACAATTTCAGTTATAAACATAGTGGAGGATCACCGGTCTTCCTATTTCGGCATGTCTTGCATATTTCTAGCGCTATGGTGCTGGATACGTGGGAGACATGCGGTGGATGCCGTGTCTCGGCCATTTCTTTCCCCTTTCCTTAATTCAATACCCCGTCTGCTGTGTTCTTTCAGCGAGCGAATGAGCGGCTTGGTTCAGCGTGGCGGTGCTGGAGTCTGAGCTAGATCAGAAATTGAGATCTTTTCTCACAGATTCCGAGATGTGATGTGGTGTAATGAGAGTCATGGTGACGAAAGGATAGCCTGTCTTTGACTCATATCACTGAGATTCACAACAGAACACAGCATTCTCTGAACCATTCGACTCAGATTTAGCAAGGGGAGAGGAAGGTGAGGATCGTCCTATCACCTAATTCCGACTAATATTCCATGAGTTGAGTTGAGGGACTGGAGATACATTTCGCCGATACTAGTCCAAAACTGGGCTAGCGCGGGGTTAACAGAAGTCAATGTCCTCCCATCGAACTGCGCACTGCGGTTGTTGCTCTGCTAACGCACACATAACTGAACTTGTACTTTGTGTGGCTATATAAGACACGCAACCACTCACCATCCCTCTTTATAACACCCCTTAACCTCTTTTCTGGCCCCACGAGAATTCCTGCAACGAACTCGACTCGAAAAACTACCCAGACCACGCACCCCATAGTACTTTCACCATGCCGGGCCACCACAGAGCGAAGACGTTGGGGTTCGATGACGATGAGGTGTATGGTGATGACGAAGAGTATGACGAGGAGGGAGAAGAAGGCGGTAATGGTATGACAGAAGAGGATCGAGAGCAGCTGCGGGTAGGAACAATAAAGGTCAAAGAGGCGTTGGATTCAAGTGTCAACGTGTCAGACGCCCAGATTCAGGAAGCGTTGTGGCATTACTACTATGATATCGGCAAATCAGTTACGTACCTAAAGAGTATGGTTGGAGAATCTGTTTCGCACTATGCAGTAAGATGCTAATGACTTTAGACAAACATGCACCCCAACCAAAGGCTCCAGCACCACCAAAGCAAAAGGCAGTTTCCCGCTTTGATCAAGCAGCAAGCGCTGCCAAAACCCAGCCAAAAACAACGCCAGGTACGTACTCACTATCTCTTGCCCTATATATCTGCCAAGAGCCGCTCCGCACCGCACCTAGCCTTGAATCACCTACAGCAGCCCGGCCGACCATATAACGAGCGCGTCTAAGGTGTGGACAGGCGTAGAGTATCAATTACCAGTACTATTGGATTGCCTCTCATCTCACAGTTTGCACTCCGCTTCGAACTTCTTTCAGGATACCCCCTGGTTGAACGTACCACAATACAGACTCGGCGAAATCACAATGGAACCTCTGTGGCCTCGCGGTGGTCTACTTGGGGGCTCTTCCAAAAACCCCTCCAAATTAGCTGCCCTGGCAGCAGCGCGAAAGAAGAAGCAAGAGGATGCAAAGAAGGCTGCAACTCCTGTGACCCAGTCTGAAGGTAGCCAAAATACCGACAGGGCCATAGCTCTGCTCGATCGCCTCAGTGTTAGGGGCAAAGGTAGTGGGACATCCCCATTAATGCGAGGCGGTGAACAACTCGAAAAAAAACCGAAGTATTCCGGTCGCAAGCGATCTCCATCTCCTTCTCCTATCCCCTCGGAGCCGGAAGAAATCCCGGACCCAGGGCCCGCACCAGCACCACATTTCCCCAGCTTCCCAAACATTAAAGCTCAACCATCCGAGTTCGCACGAGTTCTCTGTGGCCTCGATCAATCCCCTCCAAAAAGACCACGGGTGGTGATACCCTCATTTCCTCTGCAGTATACTACCTGGCAGGATTATCGGGCAGCCAACCCATTCGTAGGACCGAGCCCCGACGCCATCATCATAGCTGCCCAGGCTAAAGGTGCGGTGCAGCGCTGACTATGTGCAGAGTTAGAGACTGGATCTAAGTCTCGAATAGGACACAAGCCAAAAGCTGAGCAGAAAATCCCTAGAGATAGGCTCGCTGAGTCCGTAGAGAAAGTGAAGATTGAAGAAGTACCCAAGGTGAGAAGCAAGAATTTGAACGTCGTCGAGGAGTTCAGAAAGAGTGGGATGAAAAGGATGGCTAATTTTGTCGTGATTGGTATTTTCAAATTCATTATCGTGGAAAGAATTGTCGAGGCTGACTTTGACAGGCCATGTTGACCATGGAAAGAGTACGCTAATGGGTCGACTTCTTTACGACCTCAAAGTCATCGACCAACGCTCAGTCGACAAACTACGAAGAGAGGCGCAGAATATCGGAAAGTCCTCATTTGCTCTCGCGTGGGTCATGGATGAAACTTCAGAGGAGCGAAACCGAGGTGTGACAATCGACATCGCAACCAACTTCTTTGAAACCGAAAAGACGAGGTTCACAATACTAGATGCGCCGGGTCATCGAGACTTCATCCCGAATATGATTGCTGGCGCATCGCAAGCCGACTTTGCAATTCTGGTTATCGATGCTAGCACGAACAGCTTTGAATCCGGCTTGAAAGGCCAGACGAAGGAACATGCGCTGCTCGTACGCAGTATGGGTGTTTTGCGACTTGTCATTGCCATCAACAAGATGGACACTGTATCTTGGTCGCAAACGCGTTTCAATGAGATATCGAACCTGATGATGGCTTTCCTCACTGCGGCTAACTTTTTGAAGAAGAATCTCACATTCATACCGTGCGCCGGGCTTACGGGTGAGAATGTGACTCGGAAAGTCGAGGATCCGAGAGCGAGTTGGTATACTGGAGGTACTCTCATTGAGGCTGGAGAAGCACTTAAGGACTCCATTGACAGTGTCGAGCCCAAGGAACGCAGTCTTGAGAAACCATTACGGATGACGGTCGATAACGTCTTCAGAGGCGGCGTCACAAACCCGACTAGCATATCCGGCCGCATTGACGCTGGGACTCTCCAAGTCGGCGACACTATCCTCGCCATGCCTGCAAACGAAACAGCAGTCGTGAAAGCCATCGAAGTCGCAGACGAGCCCGTCGACTGGGCTGTCGCGGGACAAATCACAACACTACATCTCACGGACGTCGATCCTGTGCACCTCCGTCTCGGCGATGTTGTATGTGACCCAAATACCCCTGTTAAACTCACCAAGCGGTTCAAGTGCAAGATACTAGCATTTGAACACGTGTTTCCGATGTCGGTGGATGTCTTCCGTGGGAGGCTACAGACGGAGGGGAAAGTGAGGGATTTGAAAGCACTGTTGAATAAGAATACGGGGGCAGTGACGAAGAGGAATCCGAGAATTGTGAAACCAGGAGAGGTGGCGAGGGTTGTAGTGTTGCTAGAGAGGGAGTTACCGTTGGAGGTTGGGACGAGGATTGTGTTAAGGGAAGGGGGGAATACGATTGCGGCGGGGATGTTGGAGGAGTGAGGAGGCTGAAGAAAATATCAAGTGTGGCTGGAGCAGAGGGAGAGGTAGGAGTGGGAGTGCTGTGGAAAAAGGTGTGGTCATATCTACTGGGCTCTATTGCCGGTCAGGAGAATATATCTTTCAGCCCTCCTGCTATATCCTTCTGTCTATACATTGCATCCACCATCGCGAGATACAAGTTCCACGTCGGTTGATGCTAGGGAAAAGTGGAGGAGTACTGTGCTTGCGCCACAAACGATTTGGGAGGGACGTCATCTACGCTAACTAAACCAAACCAAATGATAGCTCCATTCCATTCACCCCACCCGCATTCTCCCAGATCCATCAATACTAAGCTCCCCTTCCCCCTACCCCTTATCCCCTCTCCCATCCATTATCCACCTACCAAGCCACCCCCGGAATACTAACCTGCACTCTCGGCTACGCCTTCTTCTCACTCGCAGTGCCCTCCGTCCCCTCGCACCAATCCACATCTTTAAGACTCAACTTGGGCGTGGACGTTAGTACGGAATTACAATTTCGTTGTACTCAGTTTCACGAAATAGATATCGGAGCCGTGAGCACGAGGATGCTAGGCTGTGCGGTGTCAGGTTACGGAGCGAGCAGCCGCATCATTGTTGTGGCGGTTGTTGTTAACGGTAGTATGGTTTGTGGGATTGGCGGAGAGAAGGAGGATCAGGACCCGGCCGCTTCGTGCCATACTTTTAGCCTCCTATGGCTGCGATTAAGAGAGTTCTTGCGGCGCAGAGGATGATGTAGAATATTTTTCTTTTTATCTCTGAAGGCGGAGGAGAGGCCAGGGCGAGATGGCTGGTTTCTAGGCCGTGTAAGTAGATGGGGTTTGGGCTTGTTAGAGGGTCCATGGTGAGTTTAGTTGAGCGTAGTAGTCGTTAAGGAACGTTCTTTTCTAAATTATGGAAGCTACTTGTTTTTGGGGGAATAGATATTTTGGAAGGGGAACTGATTAAGTTAGTAGATAAAGGGTGGTTAGGAGAGGGTGTGGTGGCGTTTTGTGTACTGATATCAACCATTATTTAGTACTAGGCTGTTTGGCTGGTTCCAAACCATCCAGTATGAAGCAGTATTATGAAGCAATATGAAGCACGGGCAGCACTATTATTTCCCAAACTTCGTATACATTTAAGAAGCACTCCCGCGACGCTGTGCCAGGAGCTCCAGCTGTCTTACATAACTTCGCCGCATTCAGCTCCACACCTCACTGTTCTTCCCCTCCTTCTCTTACCCCTAGCGTAAACAATGGATTAGCCTGCATTCGATTCAACTATGTCTCAATTCACCCCTAAGCAAGCAATGCCGCGCGACAGCCGCCTCTTTGACATCATTGGCGCGCAAGAAACTATCAACAACTCCGCATACGTAATGAGCCTCCTTCCCCCATTCCCTGAGGATACCATGATACATGACGCAGCATGCAATATAGGCCCAGTTACAGAAGCCATCCTAGCAATCTACTAGCCCCAATCCATTACCACCATGCTACAGATCTCATGCCCCCAATGGTAGACATATACAACTCTTCCGCAGGACAAAACGGCTGGCTTTCAAAAGTTGTGATTATGGATTGCCAGCACCTGTCATTCCCAGACCTAACATTCACGCACATATTCCTGTCATTTGGACTGCCGATTATTGCAGATCGCGTGGCAGCTGCGGCGCAAGAGTTCTACACAATGAAGACAGGAGGGACGGCAGTTACGGCATTTTGTTTGAACATTCCGCAAGGCGATATGGCGAGAGAGATGCGTCACAAGGTCTGGAGATCGGATGCTACCGTTACTATTGAACCCCATCTAAAACATAAGGATCCGAACTTCAACCGCGAGCTTCTCGTCCAAATGGGTTTCAGATTCGAAGATGTGCGGTTGTATGAGAAATCGAACATTCTGAAAGTTGAAGATATTTGTGAGTTTGTGTTTGCTATTTTGAGCGCTATTAGAGAGGAGGCTGAAGGTTGGACGGAAGATGATGACGAGAGGTGGGATGAAGCCATTAAAATTCATAAGATGTTGTTAAGCGAGAAGAAGGGGTATCACGCTGATGAGAACAGAAATATCAAGCTTGGAATAGTTGCCCAGATTGCGATTATGAGGAAAGAAGTTTAATGATGGGAGGGTGTCTGTAGGTTAATTTCTGCGTCGAATAGTGGGCGGAGGTTAACCTAATAGATATACTGAAGAGGTACCATGGAAACCTAAAACGTGCCAGCCTTCTCATTCTAAGCAGATTTGAAAGAACAGAAGAGTGTACCTGTATTTAGGAATCAAATCCTGAAATACCCTAGATTTCCCTAGTCTGACCTAATCCGTTTGACTTGACATAAACGCGTACTTGCGTGAAGTTCTCTGCCATCGTGGCTGCTGAAATGGTCAACAAAGTATAAGGTATACATACTATTCTGCATGTGAATCACCCGTTGGTTGATTATTCGTACCTTTGTGGTTGTGATAGCGAAGTGGAGCCTATCCTTACAGACAGCCGCGGAAAGCACCACGACCATCACCAACACTATTCCAGAATCGGCGTGATAGTTGGCACACGTCGCTGCCTTATGCTTCTTCCCGTCCTTCCGCATGATCTTGAAGGCTTCGTATCCTATGAGGGAAGGTAGGTGAATGAGGTTGTTGTGGCGCTCAAGTTGTACTGTTCCATGTACAAGTTGAGCATATACTCTGCCCACGTCTTTTAAGTCTAATCTGAACTGAACAGTAAACTGGAGCAGCAAGAGCTGGGACATATTGCCTACGGCTTGACATGAATTTTGTAGTCTTCCTTCTAGGCTACTATGAGCTTGGCCATAATGGCTCAGCTGATCTGTGCTCCCTTTCTTGAAATTAGATGAGGTATGGGAGCTATCGGTTGTTAATGGCGATGGTGGAGGGTTTTAAGGTGACTTTTAGTTTGTGTGTAGTTATGTTTTATTTGCGCGTAACTTATTCGGTTTTTGAGGCGGCATTTATTCTTTTATGTTGAAGGCGCCCGCAAAATATTCGGTGCATCGCATAATTTGCACAGGTTTAACATGCTAGGTTGCGGTCATAATCCATGTTTATTCCAGGGAATCTTCGAATACCTCTAGATTCTTTGAGTTTGGGCCGTTCCTGGCGTTCCTATTAAAAAGCATGTCTTATCAGGGTCCAAGCAGACCACGTGATGAGAGCTGCGCCCTAGTGCTGAAGAATATATAAGCGGGAGGTGGTTGCCCTTGCGATCCTGGCTTGCGTCTAGCTACGCCTCCCTTTTTCGACGACATCTACACTCCGCCTAGAATGGCGAACATTTATTCTCTCTCTACCGAGCTACTGCGGTTAATTTTCATTCATTGTAGCATAGCTGATAAAGCAAGCCTCTCTCAAACATGTCGTTTGCTGCATGTGATTATTGTATCATCCCAATCCTTGTCTATGTTCATAGGACTAACATGTCTAGATACCTGAAGTGTACCGGTGCATTGATCTAAGTACCCATAATCTTGATGAAAAATGCAGGCCAATGCGGTATCTCTCGGAATACGCGCTTGTTCCACCAGATTTTGTGGAGAAGGAGCGACCGAGGTTCGAAATAGAAATGTTTGAGAGACAAAGGCTGTTCATCCGGACGATTATTGAACGCCCCGAATACGGAAAGAATGTACGGAAGCTATTCTGGACGGTCATGGACTCTCATGACTCTTGGGGCTCCGAGGATTTTGGAATCTATTGGGAGGATGAAAATGGTGAGCCCAGCGACGAATATGGCTATAGTGGTGGCAACCAGGATGAATTTGAAGATGATGAGGAGCGCCCTATGTACGTTCCGGAAGATGGTAGGCTTATCACTGAAGGCAATAGCGAGGGGCTGACCCTGTCCAAGAGCCTCTTTGGCGAACTTTTGCAAGTTTTACAGGGGTGGTGAGTGTGGATATCTGCTGGATAAGGTATGTGAACATTCCGCCCCTTGAATTAAATCTTACGACTTATGATCCATATACTCTGGCGAGAGATCACACCTCCACCGCCGTTATTTCCTTCGGCCACTTCTATACGATTAAGCGGCTGCATGACACGTGCCTTTGCAGAGATTCTTCTGGGGGGTGGATTGAATGCAGCTTCACTCAAGTCAGATCTCGAACAACTTGAGATACACAACCTGCTACAATTTTCGGAACCCGTACCCGGATATCAACAATCACTCCACCTACGAGATCTTAGTAAGCATGTTTCAAGTGAAAACTCTGGATGTAGGAGAACCAATGGTGGCAGGCCAATGGATGGCATTCTCGATATCCTTGCCGGTCGGTGTACTAGCCTCATGTCCCTGCGCATCACCACTTGGGGACCTCGGGAGAGTTGGTTGCTGGATGAAAAGATGACTAAAATTGACGACCAGCGGTATTTTTCATGGGGACAGTTTTTGAAGTCCGTGCGCCACACCTTGCAATACTTTTCATTCGAACAAGGTGACAATAACAACGAGTTTATCGGAGACCGTCGTGGGCGTCGGCCTCACCAGCAGCACAGACCCATGGACCAGCTTTTCGTGCGTTGGATCCTTCCTGTGCTACTGGAAGGTCCGTGGCCTCGAATGAAGCGCATGGAAATAAGAGGAGTTGGGCGTTGGACCGAGAGCCCTAGACATATTGACACTCCTCTAAGCGAAGTTGAGAAGCGCAATCCGAATGCCATATACAAAATAAGGCCGTATGTGGACCACCTCGGACGTCAATATTATGAGGTCGAAGAAACCCATATTGCATTTACCGTGGAAGCAAAGCGGAAACTCCAAGCAGTGTTAGGAGATGAAGTGTACTTGGATATCGATGAAACAGCATCGAGAGACTATGAATGTTGTGAACAAATGAAAGACGGAATACCTGATATCTCAGACTGAGCTCTTAATACGGAATCCCGGCAACGGAAGTTGCTGACCGAGCATTAATGTGGACTTCGAAATTTCGCTAGTTGAGAATACTGAGCATCCGCTTCGAATTCTCGATAGGGACAGAGGCTAGAGTGAGCCTTCAGCATGTTGAGATGGAACTCTCACAAAGGCAGGCTGGGGTTGTGGATAGGCGAGTTAAACTTAGTGGTGAGAGCCATATGAGTGTATTGAGCGATAATATAAAGGTCTAGGAAGCTGAGTGTTCTCCGCGCTAACTTGATACTGGACGAGAGAGGAGCTAGCCCTAATAGATTACCAGTGCTGCGCATGGTTGCCGCATCACAAGGCGACAGGAATCGGTGACATCAACCACTCTATTTATTGAAGAATATGCGAGATCCTTGGTTTCAGGTGAAGGGCACGTGACACTTGATTCGGAACTGCGGTTGACATGGATGTCGTGAGTGTAATGTTGGTTCTAGCAAAAGTTAAAGCAGATATTTGTGTATACTCTCTATCAAAATTGTTATCCTTCAAACCCCCTCTCCCTCTAACTTCCTCTTATTGCTCTAATGTCTCCCTAAAGCTGTAGGAAGATATCTAGGAAAATTTCGCAAACTTTCGGCGACAGTACTCTAGGGGGCAGCTCGTGATACTAGACTCGTTACGAGCGAGACTGAAAAGAAAGTTGTGTAAATACATGGCTGATGCATGGCATAAGGTCCCCATGAGAGGCAACAGTGAGAAGAGGTGTAAGCGCACTGACCTTCAAGAATTAAGATTTTCCATATCGCAGGTAGTGGAGCCGGAGAGAGTTGAAAGTTAAAGACCCAAGTCCGTGGGCTCTATCTTTGCTTTGCGTCAGATTACGGTGAGTCTCCGACCGTTCACCACGCCTCATAGGTGACTGTGGCACCGTATTCGGATATAGAATCGGGAACCGCTAATGAATAATAGATGTAACCGTCCCCAATGCGATACCCCATCCTTTCGAGGAGTTTGTGCCTACATACCTAGTTCTTCTCCATTTAGATCGAGTACGCGTTATCATACTAATTTCTGTTTGCCATATCTAAAACAATCGCAGGAATATGTTTTTTGTCGTTCACTTTCGCGGATTACCCCCTTGCATACGCTGGAGTCCAAAGGGAGAAATGGTTGCTAGGTTCCACCACATTTCTTCGGTTACCCTAGACGGTAATAAGAAATTTGGGAACATTCAAGAAGTTTCATAAAGCGGGTATTACATTGATTACATTACAATGGAGGAAACCTAAATATAAAGAAAGTAGACAAGGGGGAGAAGTTGTACTACGTGCATAGGGATTTATGGAGATGTAGGTACATGAACTAGGTAGATCATGCATTGACGCAAATAATATGAGTCCCTTTGGTAGTGTAGTTAACTCTTTCTCGCTTTCGCGTTGAGTTAAAAATGACGGCACCTAGGACCTCGTGGAAGTAGCCCTCAAGATGTTGGTTCAGAACTTGCATCCCCATATTATCACATGATTACGTAAAGGCGGCGGTCATTATGAAATGTTCACTGATAGTGACTGTATATGCAGATGCTATGCCATTGAGATGTGGTAAAGAAGTACTAGGATTAGGGAGACATGCCCGTAGTTGTTACTCCACTCAGCCGGACCAGACAGCTGGGCCGGGGCTGACGTACTTGAAGCTAGTGTCCCAGATGTTCTTAGAAAAGATCGCATCGCTAATATCCGTTAGTCTACGAAGCTGCGAAAAAGGAAATCTACTAACCTAGACTTATAGGCACCCGGGAACGAGACACCGCTTGGATTGGCACTTCCACCACCAACAACATTGATCTGGAAGCACGATACGTATGGCTGAGGGTTTCCAGCTCCGGCATGAAGGGCAATGGCCTCAGCTCGGACGAGGTAGTTCCCAGAGGCGAGAGACTTTGGAACTACGAAGGACTTCTTGCCGCAGTTGGCATTCAAGATCTCAGTGCCCCACGACGCTGTAGTACCGGTGTAACCGTCCTCCGCAACCTTGAACCAAGAAGCGGATGAAGCAGTCTTCGCATCAGCAACCTTGGCCATGTAGACCATGACTGGGCCGTAATGCTGCCCACCAATAGCGGGGTCTTTGCACGAGCGTGCCCCTGGCTGCTGGTGCATCTCGACGGAGAGGCTGCTACCGGCTGTGAAAGCTGATAAGCATTTTGCTAAAGTTGGGAGCTGAGATGGTGTTTACCCTGTACTTCACACACGCTCGCAGCAGCGGCCGGGCTGCGTCCGCAGAACATATCAGCGTTTGTAATGCCTGCGATGGGAGTGTTGTCTTTGACCACTCGGGTGCAGTCGGTGATCTTGTCGGTAGTGCCGACCCACAGGTCCTGCCATGTAGCGTGTGCTGATACAGACGCAGCCGCAGCGAGGAGAATCGCAGCAGTCTTCATTCTGAAGTCGGTTTCCAAGGCGATTGATAATATGTACACGAGTGGAAGAAAGCAAAGCAGAGCTAGACAAAGACCAGATCGATGACAACGCGACGAGATCAACGACAAGCGTGCTCATTTTTATGGATTCGCATTAATTTACACGGCACAAAGCTGTCCGCCTCGGTTTGCGCCTGGCTGCCAAGTTCCAGCAGATTAATGCTGTTGTTTATTGTTGATTGTTTTACCCAGATCCGCCAGCCAGTCGGAACCCGGGCTCTGAATCCCGGGATGGTGTTGATGCCCATTGGAGTGCACGTTGGTTTTTCCCCTGAAACATTTCACGTCTATGTGCAAAACAATTCGCTTCGATTGATTTACTTAAAGAAGACCACAATATTATCCATATATGGTCGGTCGCGGTGAAGATGAGTTGTGGTGTTCACAGCTATTTGGTCAGATGCCACTACTTTCGTCTTGCGCGTATGTTCCGTTGAAGTTTTCTTGAGCTTGCTCGTATAGGCAAGGGTTGCAATGATTAATTTTGCGGGGAGCACGTGTGGGGGAGCCAAGGGAAATAGATGATATTTTCGTCAGCGGCGCATATAGAAAATTCATATATACACCCCAAGTAGAAGAAGGAGCAAGGCCAAGACGGGAAGAAAATAGTAATAGGCAGCAAACGAAGCCTGTAGAGCAGCTATAGGTGAATTGCGCAATCGGCTCGGGCACGAATCTCCCGGATTTCGAAAGCAAGATATATTGAAATGCTGAACGGAGAGTTCTCCGCAAATAGAAGTCGCGATTCACAGGAGGCCGTGTCATCGTCGCCACCAAGCATAGGGGCGAACATAAGTAAATCACGGTAAATGGGTTAGCCTGTATCGTATACTATACAGTGGACGAAGATTTTGGCTTGGAAGATGCAACTAGTAGGGTGAATCATTGTGGGAAACGCAAATAGTTTGTGAGAGGTTGAGAATCTATGTAAAATACCTGGCGTGACCCAGCCAACCTCTTTGATGGTGCTCAGCACTGTAGAAATTTCTTAATTCTGGGCTGAAAAAAGCAAAAATATACAGCAGTAGGTATTTGCTAGTAGTTACCTACCTAACTACTACTTCGCCGGTTCCAAGGTTGTCTATCGAAGATCGAACGGGGCTCAGACTGAACACAAAGACCCTAAATTTTTCTGTTTCCAGAAAGCAGGAGATAGTAATTATACCCCTTACGGAACCGGATTGAGATCTAATTTACTACAGCGACTGGGTCACCTAACACCGCGAACGTGGGCGGGTTTTGGTGGCGCGGCGTGGAAGCGCCAGGATATCGTGGCTTCTACGGATTATAGCAGCAGGCCAGTATGCGGCATTAATGTTGACCACCCGTTAAGTGGGGCAGAAATGTGAATAACGCACTGTCGGCACTGCTAAGAATCTGATACTCTTCGTCCATAGTTGCAATGAAGGCTGAGCCATCTTCAATTGCTGAACGGTCAGGGAAGTCCTCTGGCCGGCCATCGCAGGGGGATCACTAGAATGCTTGAGAAGGAGAAGCTGATGGAGGCTGACGGCAACTGGGTTCAGCCCAGCACGCTGAGCAACTCGGCGGAAGCGATTTTGGGCAACACGTGGCTATGTCTCCGTCGCCGACAACCATAATACTGAAGCCAACATCTGGCCACCTTCGAGTTTCAATTAATCGTTGATGCCTCCACTGACCGACAACAATCCGTTCGGGCAAGCCCCTCGAGCTATCACACTCTTTAAAACTGGACAAGTCTCTTCCTTAAATATCGATCAGGCTCTTTACGACGTCTATGTACTCTCTGCATGCTTTCGTAGCAAGCTCAGTATAGCTTCCTCATTTACCCAAGGCTTAATTTTCATAACCAACTGTCCGTCGCGGCCACGTGTCAAAGCTGAGAGTGGATTAATTCTGCCTTCACAGATCAAAAGGCGGCACATCTCAACATCGCCAAGCTGCAAAGCGACCTGCAAGGGGTCCTGCTGCTCTTCCACAATGTAGCCATTCCCATTGGCGTCGGCATACGAAAGTAGTATTCTGGCCGACTCGTACCGGTCCTGTGAAGCCGAGCTGCTGTTAATAATCCGCGTGAGGGCCGTGTTCCCCTGATTGTCAATCTGATAAATAGCCATCTGTAGACCGGGGACCAAAAGGCGGAACATCGCTGGGTTGCAGCGTCCCGATGCCATATGCAGAACGTTCTCACCATGGGAGTTTAGGTACTCAAGGTGCGCTTCAAAGCCTTCTTCCTCGAGCAAATACTCTACTACACCAACATGGTTTCCCAATACAGCCTCCCCGATCGATTGAAAGCCACGCAGCAATTCAGTCCTAAGATCTGCCTTTTGCTGCGCTTGATTTAGCAAACGCTGGATAACGGGCAAACAGCCGGCTCGAGCAGCGGTGCATAAAAGCTCACTGCCCCATTGCTCCTCAACGAGTGTGTCCGACACACAATCGACCAGGTCGAAAGCCACTTCCCAATTATCATGGCGCGGCCCAAAATCGGCCCATCGTTTTATAATGAGTCCGAAAAATTCAAGGTTACGAAGCTGGTGGCTGACTTGGCTTTCCAAGAAGAGCATCCTGAGCCTGGACAAATCACCCCACTGCAGAATTTGATCAGCCGCCCGTATGGCTGGGAATGGGAGGTACTTGGCCGTGCCGAAGTTCGAGTTCTTAAGTATATCGCGGAGGATAGCATCGGAGCCATAAAGCGAGGTGATGCTGAGAGGATCATACAAATGACTGTCAAACTCAAACCTGGCCTTGATTGTGCAGCCTGGGCGACAGTTCTGATTGATCCAATTGTGAAGCCGAGTTGAACCCGCATGACATAGACTCTCTATCTTTGCTAGTGATGGAAGGGTTCCATTCTCGATCGCGCCGAAATGCTTGACCCAATGGCTTGCTGCGTAAACGAAGAATTCACCGAAGCCCCGCTCGGTCGGATCATAGCGTATCATAGTCTCTTCCCAGGTTTCCCATGTGCAATACCGATCGTACTCGAATGTCTCTCTGTCGTTGAATAGGTCGATTTCTTGGGGAAGCTCATTGATTGCAATTTGCTCTCCAGAAAACAAGGGGCAGCTCCCAATTTCATCTAGTAGGAGATATTCAATGCAAATATCTAATATGAACGCCTCTAGATTCTCGATGTGAGGAGGCGTGATTGCTTGATCGGGTGCTGTTGATGTAGCGGAGCTCTGCAGACGAGGCCATTCCCATGTAATAAATTCCCTCACTGATTGGTGTGCGAGTTGGACTTGGCGTTTTTTTACATCAGTGAAGTCGATGCGAGTGATGAAGGGGTGAATCAGACTCATCACCCTTTGATGGTCTACTAGCTGGCCAAGTGCAGTCACGGTGGTGACTTCATGTTGAACTGCAGCAAGCGCCACAGCCCATGCGAGCTCTTGTATGCTTAGAGGTCTACACGCAACAGCGAGAAGCTTCAAAGCCAGAACGGAAAGCTCTCGATTCTCAGGATCATTTGAAGAGCTTCGTGAAAGCAAACTGACGTATAGGTTTGAGAGCTGCCCGGGCAAAGGTATCTCGTCTAGAAAAAGTCGCATCGGGCCAAGCGCTCTAATTTTACGAACTTCAATGAGCTCAACTACCATCTTCGTCCATATGGCACTTCGTTGCGCCAAACGAGAGAGTGTCTCTATGACAAGCGCTCTGACATCTGCCGACAGATAGGACAATTGCCTCTCGACTGTATGACGAACGATGACGGCATCTCTCTGAGCGTCAGAGCTAATTTCAACCCTAAACGCTTCGTCAAGCTGTTCAAGAATCTCTTCTTCGGGGCGGGAAGAAAGCGCGATTTTGAGACGTGGAGTCTTCTGCGATAAATTTTTCAACAGTTTGAGAACGGTCGTACGTGATTCTCTATCGCACTCGTCGAGCCCATCGATAACGATGAAGAGTGGGCGATCCAGTGTTTTCAAAACCTTTTCCAGGAACTCTTCCAGTTTCCTTGTGTTTGTTGCTGGCTGAAGGAGTCCAGTGGCCTGGTTTTCTTTATACCATTCGTAGAATGTTTTCTTCAGACCAGAAAGCTGCTCAAGGAGCGCTAGAATCAATGCAGAGAATATGTGGACGGCTTGGCCCGTCTCGTCGTCTCGGCAGTAGTAATAGCATATCTTGGGCTGAGGTAGTTGGTGCTCATTTCTTCGACGCAGCTCGTCTACAAGGAATGCCATTGCAACCGTTTTTCCACTGCCCATCTCACCAAGAATCACTAACGACTGCGAATTGGGGGCACGAAACCAGTTGGTGAAGTTTGGGTGTGAGAGCAGGAATTCACAAGCCTCATCAGTTCGAAGATCCTGCAAACGTGAATGGTATCGACTCTGCAGCTTCATCTTGCCACTATCAAGCCACCTGGCAACTGAGGTTCTATAAGTTTGTGTCCAACAAGCGAGTTAATGAGCTTACTTTCACGGTCGTAGAGCATGGTCTTAATGTCCTCAACGATCTCCCATGTTGCCTTTTCCACAAGTTTTCGAAGAGTATCAGCATGTTTCAAGAACTCTTGGACAATGTTTGGCAAACGGTCGGTCTCCAAAATCATCTTCATTGCCAATTTGGCTCCTCTCCTGGTGAGAATTTCGTGTGCGACTTGGTAAAATTCTAAAATTTTCTGGTACACAGGCACGAGCGCCTAGAAATATTAGAAAGAAATTACATAATTCAACGTAGATTACCTTGTGGACGTCTGTCCTGCTGGCTCTCTGGCCCAGTGTATCACAGTCGTCAATGTAAGAGATCTGTTCCAGCATTTCCCCAATTTGTCTTGCAAACTCCAAGTCAGCGGTTGCGAAGCTTATGGCAATCTGTGTTGAGACAAGTCAGTAATCTCGACATACTCATTCCCATAATCCGGTACAACGAACTTACAGCTGTCACACTTCTGACCACCCCAATAACAGTTGTCGCTACTGGCTCCATAGTGCTCAGTGGAGATGCTAGGTCTAACGCCAGCTTGAACCTTTCGAGCGGTATTTGTATAGAGCGTAGGTATGCCACACCGCGTACGAAGGCCGAATCCTTAGAAGCCTCTTTGTCCAACTCCTCAAGTTCCTTGAAAAGCTGCGCGGCATTGCTGCCTACGAGAATAGCAACGTCTATGTCTTTACCTAGACTCTCGACTGCTTCACGATAGGCTGCGCTCCAAAGATCTGAGGTGACAGCCACACTGCTAATGTCATCACCTACGGACGACCGATTGGTGGAATTCTCTATAGACGCGTCGTCTGCTTGATTGGATGGTTGCGGGTTGGTACTACTTTCTTCTTAGCAAAATTAGTTAGACAAGATATAACACTTACTTGTGTACCACGTTTGCGGCTCTACCGGTTTTTTGAGGTGATTGAGCACTGGTATCGTCCGAATGAGGCCGATTTTTACGGCGAAACCGATTCAGCCGTAGGGACAGCCCGCGCCGGAAGCGGCCACTATGCGTGGATGAAGAGGAAGATGCCATAGTGATGAAGAAATCTGGGTGTTCTCGAGCTGGCTATGTATCTGGGTACCCTCACGAGACAGGGCGAGCCGTAGTTGAACGATATGCGGGGGAATGAAGGCATCTGCACATTCTAGTAGCCCCTTGGTGTTGGCCCCCAAGAAGAGCAACTGCATCGCCGCTGGTCTGATTGGGTGAGTCTGATTGGAGGCGCATACGGATCTGTAAGGATAATTTCTTTTGACTGACTAAAAATTGGTTCAGCATAGCCACCACTGCCGCTCTAACGTGAGAGATCTCATTTAGAAGAGCCGACAAGAGCAAGTTTTGAAGATTGCTCTAGCATTTCTGATGCTTGGAGCAGTCACCAGAGAACTCCGGCCCCGGTACAAAACTTGTGGGTTGCAGGCAGCCTCTGGCTAACCCCTGCCCACCACAGGCACTTGATGTGTACGTGGACGAATCAAACGTCCGCTTACTAATGGGTCATTTTTGGGGTGTCTCTCCGCGACTGCGACAGTCGAGAAACTTTCTCTCTGCGTCGCCAACATCGGATCGTCATGGATCCAAAAAATGCGTCCACTCAAACCTCGATAAAGCCGTTCTATTCCTCGCAGCCTGCAAGCTCAGCTACGGTCACTTTTCTCGACTTGCCTAAAGGGATTCGCAACACAATCTACAGAGAAGTACTCGTTCTACTGCATCCACTCTATCTTTTCCAAGAGCCAGGTTCTCGAGTAGAGAGCTTTGCGCCTGAGAGGCCTATGCGGTGGCTTGGATTGCTCTCCTCTAACCAACAAATAAACAATGAAGCTAGAGCATTGCTCTACAGAATGAACCACTTCCATCCATGGATATCACGCAGCAACAAGTCGGCCTCCTGCAATCCTTCTTAAACTGCATTGGGCGTGCCAATGCAGCTTCAATATCACATCTTTGCATCAACTTCCCGGTCGCAGACAGTATAGATGGCCAATCAGGAACAGTCCGGCTTAGGGACGACTGCCTACGGAGTTTGAAGCTTCTCCAAGACCAGTGTTCCAATTTATCAACTCTAGAAACACTTGTCCACTACAAAAACTCCAGCTTCTTTAGAAATTCAGACAATTTTGTCCGAGAGGCATTGTCACAAATTGACGCCTAATTACAAGTGATCCCTTCACTAAAAAGGATCATTGTCAGATTCATAGACTATAATACAGTCCCAACGACTTCGGCAAAGGAATTCGTACAAGAACTTGGAAGAGTAATTATGTCTGGCGGCTAAATTCAGTCCTAGCGTTGGACAGTGGAAGGAAGAGGGGGTCATAGTATCTGTCTCATTAGTGCGGTATGAAAGATTTGGTGGGGGCAGCTATTGACTTCTTCGGCTACGTATGCTCGGGGATGAGGGGATGTCTATCCTCAGACGCAAGCTAGAAATAAGGGGCAAAATGCTCGCGTTATATCATTCCATGAGAGAAGATAGGCTGTGAACTTTTGAAATAGAAACGCGAAAGCCGTCTGCCGCAGCGATAACTATATTTCTTGACATTCTTCCTCTCTCTTTAATTGAATCACACTCTGACTTTACGTCTTGTCTCTAAAAGGGGATGCGCACGTTAGGAGTCAGGGGCCACAGCGATTCGGTCAACGTAGTGCCTTCTCCCACGACCGAGTCCGCCTCGCCTCGGCGTCAGACGACAGGATATGAAACTTTTCGATAGTTGAAAGACAAGTTCCCGCTGCAAGGCGGCCCGTACGGCCCGTGCGGTCGACCTAATGTAGCGCCGGAGCCTCAACGGCGACCTCAAAGTCCTGAAACACCACCTCCAGCCTCACCCAAAGGACGCACAACGAAGCCGAGGGCAAAGGTGCTAGAAGCTCAGCAGTCGCTACGGACATGCACGATACTACGATGGGTGCGGGCGAGTACTGGAGCCACTGAATCGCAACTGTGGGAGAACGAAGGACCTCCCAGCGCTCTGCAATCGACGCAGCATGGACTGCCATTATTCCCTGCTGCACGCGTATCCGTCACTCTTGAACGTGTGAGAGGAAGCGCCGAGCAAGGAGATGTCTCTTCGCTGATGAACCACCCGGGGCCATTTCGCGTATTCGAGGGTTTGGTGCAGCTTAAGGCAGCAAGCAGCTGCAGCATTGAGGGTCAGAGTTGACGTCGTGCCTCCCGCTTCGAACGAACAACCTCACGCATTTAGCCCTCTCCGAACGAACCACTTCGCACATCTACTCCTCTCCCGCTTCAAGGACGAAAACTCAGGCAGCATGATTGGCCATGTGCGATGAGTCTCTCATTGTTCGATAGTCGCGATCGAACCGAACGACGATGAACAATAGGACCAGTAATAATCAGGGCATTTTTTGTGCGGGCGAGCTTGAAAATGAGGGAACTGTCGGCTAGCTGCCGTTAGATTTGATTTCTAGGCTTGCGCTATCTGGCCGTAGTTATCACGCTCGGTACCGTCACAAAGGTATCGTCCAGTCCGATACACGAACATGAAGGCATGGATAACTATGGGCGCTTGCGACCAGGCCCCACGCATCCCGTTCTGGTTTCTTGCTTCTTGTCTCCCCACAGGGTCCGACGACACACGAAACTGCAAGAAATGTCCCAACCCTTTCGCCATCGGTTTAAACTGGCTTGTGTGCGTCCAAAGAAAACCTCCTAACAACAGCCTTTCCAGTTGCCCGCATATATGTTGCGTCCTCGCACTCACTACGTCTAATGGTATTTTCGTATCTTTCTCACAGCAAAAGGGAGATGGGTAACTAGTAGACAGAAGGCAAAATTTCAAGACAGGTTTAAGAATCGACGGATGTCCTCCAGATCCCGGGGATGCCATTGAAGGTGTACAACCCACTAACGCTCAGACATGACCTAGCACGCGTGCTCGTAGCAAATATAACACTTCGTTGGGATTGTCCATGTGCTAGGGATATCATATTGAGTGGAGACATGAGCTGACAGCTCTTCGTAGCTTGCAGTGGGATAGCCGCAACGGTTCCACAAGCACTAATGTATCTTTTGGGTGAAATGTGAGCATCGACATGAGGAAAATAGCTCCCGGGAACTCTTCCATTTAGACTGGAAGTCACCGTCATTCCAAGTGCATACGTGAACCACTTCTTCTCGGTGATGCACCATTTCACCTTTGTTCTTTTTTGGAGCGACACCAACGCGAACACTAAATAAGGTGACTATTCATGCGACCGAGATGCTTTCTACTTCTGGTTTGTAACTAATCAAACAACAAGAGGCGACCATATACTCATCCAACCCTTTCTTGTCATCGGTACATCGACTATCTTACCTAATCTAACAATAGGGTATGCGAAGTGAGGCCTAGACGGTCGTGCCAGTCTTGAGAGAGACGTTCGACGAAAATTCCCGTAGAGGTTTGATCGTTTCCCCCAAAGAAGCCCTTGCTCACAGCTTCGCGGTCAAGTTCATATTGAGAGCGTGCTTAAAGATAACGAGATGGGGCTCGGGTGTCGGACTCGGGCATTAGGGAAGGCTTTCACCGAACGAGCTATTATCAAGAATGCCTCGCGATTCTCCAAAAGTGTTTTCCCCATTGGCCAGGTCAAATGCAAGGAGAAGCAGTCACTGGGCACATCTGCATCAGCGTACTGTCTTCGTAAAGAAGGACACGAGTACTACGGATTATAATCATAACCTAGCATTGAACAAAAAGAGAGGAGCAGGCTTAACCTTATTTCTCATCTCCTCTGCGATATTTGCGATTCCTCAAACGTACGTGGAGAGCAAAGCCCCTGAAGAAATGTGCTGTGAACACGAATAAGCTCCACATCTTTATAAAGCAACTCTTCATTACTCCATCTCCATGCTTCTGATTCCACGAGATCACCAGGTAGATTTCCCATATACGTGTACGAGAGAAGTATGGAATGGAGTTAAAGTCGAATGTGAGAATGATAGTTCTAGTACTCATCGCATTGCTAGAGAAATTCAGTGAGGTCTTTAGCAACATCCCCCGGTGGGAGAGGCTTTGGATGACACTTTATAGAGAGCCCTTCAGACGCTGGCAGGTCCTTCACGGAGACTATGTAAGCTTAGGAACAGTCTCAGGCTCGCGTACTGAAGCAGAACTTATAAGTTTGAACTTAATACTGTCAGCCTTGGTGTACCAATGTTCTATGTGCAGCTTTATCGCACGTTTCAGAGCACACAGATCGTTTGAAATCGTAGTTTCCGCAATCTTCTCATCCAGGACGCCAGAGTTACGAACAAGCCACTTAAGATATGACTTGATGCAACTGACTAGCGGCGCTTTGATGAAGGTTCCTTGAGGCTCATTAGAAGTACCCACTGCCACGAATCTGGGCAGCTTAGCGTCTCAAACTCCTAACCAAGAGTGCCTTACCGATTCTACTTGCTCATAGCTAGTTGGTAGGGCTTGAAGGCCGAAGGGATAAGATCTCGTTTGATAGAGTCGTGAGTAACTGCTGGTACTGGCTTTACCGCTCCCTGAGCTGCCTCTATGAGGTCAGCGTCGTATTTTCTAGGGTGCCTAATCTTCAGCCTTTTTGGCTTCATTGATGACGTGCTAGAAGAAACAGAGGATACATTTATGAATCAGTTAGAGGAAAAAGAAACAAAGTAGAAGCTGAGAACGAGACATGGGGGAAAACAGTGAGACACGGGCATGATTTGAAGCAAGGTTTTGCCTCCTTCTATTAAGGCAGCGATCTTTCGGCGTTACAGTGTCGCCACGTCGATGTACTGATGTTCGCGATACCGATTCCTGGTGTTGGGACCTGCGTTCATGTCTTGGGGGCGGGTGACTAACTTGCTCCAGGACCGTTTCCAGACCTCAGTAAATATGCCCGGAAACAGTTCCCCACCAAACGGTGGATGAGAAAGGAAGTAGATTCTGCTTGGTTCTATGGTCGTATGTGGCAGAGAAGGGAAATGCAATAATTATATCGTTCTACAAGCATATTGGAAGGTATCTGGAGGGAAAGATGTCTAAATATGCGGAACTTAGCGTTAAGGTTGCCTCAGATACCGCTGTGGGTTGAAGTCGCAGTCTTCTCTCACAGATCAGACGAAATCACGGTACCGAAAGTTGAGATGCCATGTGACATTTTCGGCTAAAATTAAGCTTAATCGATGCAACCTCGCAAAAGAATTCTCGATGTGTTCACCGCTTTTCGCGCAACTGCCCTCATTCCCACGACCAGCCACCAGATAATGAAACTTGCAATATCGAAAAATTGGTGCAGTCTTCATGCATGCATCCTGGCTTGAACCGAGGAGACCGAAGGACAATCAGTCATCGACAAAGATCCTAGTAGTTCTGCGTCACTTTCCAGTTTTCCACATAGTAAGGTATCAGCAGGTTCAGCATCATGATTGGAGGGGCGTATGGGAAAACGGTGAAGGTTCAGGGCTGGAATTTGCGATGTTCCATAGGGCTGAACAGGCAAGGCTGAGCCAACGTACCGGTCGCCAGTGAGAAGGTCAGCTTGCAATGTCCCCGCTTAGTACGTAGCTACATACATGTCTGACTCAGGAGAACGGTTATCTCGGTGCTGGTGTTGTGGTGGTCAGCTAGGGTGGTCTTCTTGGCGCTGCCACTCTGGGACTCCCTTTGGCTTCAGACGAGGTGGTGTCGACATATGCAGGCACCAGCGACGGAAACAGCCTAGCACGGAGTGTGGGTTCCGGGGCTTTGGAGAAGGTGAGACATTTCTTTCTCTTGGGTCGCTTTTCCACCGTCTTGCACCCAACAGTGAAAGCTCAGTTGCATTGCTTGGGTCGCAGTCATGAGATGTTATCGATAAGGGTGAGGCGGCAAAAGAAAGGTCGAATGGGAGCCATGAAGTTTCAGTAGCCGCTCATGAAGGTCGAGACCGTTTGTTGAATGCTGGCTGTCGCCATGTCTTATGACTCTGTGAATTTGTTAAAACGCCTATCACAGAGCGCTCAAAGGACACGCTTCACATCCTGTCATCTTTGACGCTTGCAGAACGACGCTTGGAGCAAGATAGATCTTGTTCAGATTCACAGGACGCTTAGGAAGAGCTGGATCCGGCACGTTTCGCGAACGCAGATCAGTAGGTGGAGTATCCGGGGTGAGCTAGGAACTTGAGATGAGTTTCGTAGTCTTCCAAGGAACAGCCACTTCGTCGCGGGAGCCGTAACGGCGCAGCGTCTCTTCGCATTAGTGCATTGCCGAGGACAAGAGAGACACTCTGCTCCAACTCATCTCTAGATCCTCCACCCTATGTTGCAGTTGGAGGTAAGAGAAGTCGGTCAGGCTGGCATCGGTGCTAGATGTATTGAGTTTAGCTCACCGCCCCCACGCCGATTCAGCATGGCTCATTGCTGGTTCCGAACGGCCACAGGCGACCCGTGGACTCGGCCTCCTGCTCGATAGGCCTCGCATGCTGCATGCGATGACTTTGAGGGGAGCCGATTGCTGGATATGCAAACATCTGCAGCTGGGTGTGGTTCGTTGCATTGTCTGGCTGTCCGCCCTTTGGATGGACGGGAAAGGTGGCCTGCGCTTCCAGAACCATCGGATACTCCGGGAGGCCCTGATTCGTCTGCCTGGGGTGAAGAGCGGGGGGTAGAGCGGCTGCGCCGAGGGACCTCTGCTGTCTGACCGCCCCGCTTAATTTCTCACTGGATGTGCTATTTCTGAAAACACCAGACGACTGAGGTTGTGCTGTCACGGGTGCGGCTGAGGACATTCTCCATCAACGCTCATCCATTTATTAAAGACAATTGAGCCCCCAATGGACGCCATCCAGCTTCAGCGCAACAGCCGCCCCCTGAGCGCCCGTATCCCTTATCGCACAGCTCAGGATTGACGATGGATTCGCAAATATCCAACTTTGACTTGGTAAACATCACCAGACCCCAATCGAAAGCACCCAGCATGAACCACGAAGCACCCGCTCCCCGCCCTCGGCCCAGGATGAAGAAGCAGCCTCCCCAGCGGGGCCTTAACGAGTTCTGGGACAAGTTCACCACCAAGCACCCTGGCAAAATCTTCACCATCTTGCCCGACAACCTGTATGCGAAGCGCGCTGCCGCACATGCCCCGAAAGGTACTATTCCTGGCCAGAATGCCGTCGCATCCTACGAAGAGGCTGCCGATGCCTGCAAGAAGAAAGTTGCAAAAATCGTGAAAGAATGCCGGCGGCTGAACCAGAAGTATCGGGACCCACATTTCGACATAGAATCCGATTTCAAGCGATCGCAAATGAACCCCGATATACCACCAGACTGCCTTACAACATTAAACGAAGATCGAAGCACGTTTCAGCCCATGTCGGTCAAGCGGATCGAGGTACGTTCGTCCGCTGCGATGCCGCGTTCCACATGGCTAATGGCTCTGGTCAACTTTAGGACATCTTCGAGAAACCCCGCTTCTTTATTGAAGGCGCGAGTGCAAGCGATGTTCGACAGGGAAACGACGGCGACTGCTGGCTGATGTCGGCGCTCTGCACAATAAGTAATAAGGAAGGTCTGGTCCAGAGAGTCTGTGTGGCTCGGGATGAGCAAGTCGGAGTGTACGGATTTGTGTTCCACAGAGGTAGGCACCCGGTGACTGTATGATCTGGCACCCGTGCTCACGTGAGACAGATGGTGAATGGATCTCGGAAGTCATTGACGATAAACTGTACCTAATAAAAGAGGATTTCGACGAAGCCACGCTCGGACGATATCAATGGCTGGAACTACAGAACCGGAAAAGCCCAGAGGATGAATATCGTACAGCGATGCAGACAGGCTCAAGGGCGTTGTACTTTGCCCAGTGCAGTGACCCGAACGAGACATGGCTGCCGCTGCTCGAGAAGGCATATGCCAAGGCCCATGGCGATTATTCCGCCATTGACGGGGGATTCGTTGGCGAGGGAATCGAAGATCTTACGGGCGGTGTCACGTCCGAGGTTTTCGCTACCGACATCCTCGACAAGGACAAATTTTGGCGGGAAGAATTGCTAAATGTCAACAAGACTTTCCTTTTTGGCTGTGGCCAGATGGGCGGCATCTACGGCGAACGCAAGGGGATCCAAGAGAAGCACGCATACTCGATCATGGAAGCCCGCGAAATTGACGGTCACCGCTTACTTAAGCTTCGAAATCCATGGGGCAAAACCGAATGGAACGGCCCTTGGAGCGATGGTTCCGAGGAGTGGACCCCCGAGTGGATGCAGAAGCTTCACCATAAATTTGGCGACGACGGGGTCTTCTGGATTTCTTACAAAGACCTTCTCAGGCATTACCAGCACTTTGACCGAACGAGATTATTTGGCCCCGAATGGACAATCTCCCAACAGTGGACGAGCGTCAATGTCCCATGGTCCGTCGACTACCTAGACACCAAATTCAGGATCAAGCTATCCAAGCCTAGCCCAGTTGTTATCGTGTTGAATCAGCTTGACGATAGATATTTCCAAGGCCTTGAAGGTCAATATGAGTTCCAGCCCCAATTCCGACTCCATAAAGATGATGAGGAAGAGTATATCGTTCGCAGTAACGGCACCTACTACATGAAGCGATCCGTTTCGACCGAGCTCGACCTTGAAGCGGGTAACTATACCGTGCTCCTTAAGATAAAGGCAACCAGGTTACCTAACCCAACACCGGAGGACGTCATCCGTGCCACCTGTACCACACGCCGGGAGAAGCTTTTATCTAGAGGGCTCTCCTATGACCTCGCTCACGCAAAAGGCCAGTTCCGCGAACAAGCAAAAGAGAAGGAGCGCCGCGAGCATGAAAAGAAGAAAGAGCGCAAGAAGGCTGAGATGAAACATGCCTACGAACAACGCCGCAAGCTCCGCAAGAAGACTAAGCTTCGAGAGAAGAAGAAAGCCGCCAAATTGGCTGAGAAGAAACCCAGATCTGAGTTTAGAGAAGTCGACAGAAAGCTCCAAGATATTAGCGGTCTAGGAATCAATGTCGATGAAGAGGACGACACAAAACCCATGCATCCGACAATTGCTATGCACCAAAGGGCCGCAAGCACTGGAACAATTCCTATCGATCACATTCGTGATCGCTCAGTTAGCCCAAGTGGAGGGTTCGGTGGGCGTGGAGGCTATAATAAAGGGCGTGGAGGCTATAATGCCGAGAAAGCCGCAGCCGAGGCTTTGCCACTAACAAACCGCAGCGTTGAAGCTCATACAGCTACTCGCAACGAGGCTTACCAAGGCCGTGGAGGCTATAACTTTCCAGCGTCTGGCTTGCCGAGTGCGAACGCATTTCAAGCCGGGCGAGACGGATACAACATGGGAAGAGATGGCTACAACATGGGAAGAGATGGCTACAATATGGGCAGGGATGGCTACAATATCGGTAGAGACGGGTACAACATTGGCAGAGATGGATACAACGAAAACGAATCTCCAGTTCCGACCACTGGAACGGATGAGTTCCGCCCTGGTACACCATCTGGACGCACCTATAGCCCTCGGCCAGACCGCCGCCCCGGACAACCATCACCCACTCCTTCGAGACGCGCTACACTCTCCCCCATCCCAGGTATCAGACCTGGAATTTCAGTTACTCGCGGCCGCGGAACAAGCACTTGCTCGCACCGAGCCCGCGAGGGGGTCTATTCTCCTTCGGAGCTCTCCGATGACTCATCTTGGGACTCTGAGCTCGATGGACCCGACTCCTCAGACTCTGATCTCGACAGCTCAGATGACGAGAGGTTCTACGAGCAACCGTCTCACAGCCACCGCTTCCGCCGGTATGAAGAGGAGGAAGATGAATTCGAACGGGATCCTTGGAACGCTGTCTGTGTTGTTGGCCTCCGTGTCTTCTCCAAAGACACCGATGTCGAGATTGAAGTGCAGAACGGAGAAGGCGAGCGCAAGAAGAATGAAGATAGTGAGGAGGGCTCTATGATAAGTAATGTAGTTGGCAGGAAGGAGAAAGAACTGGATGTCGATGACAGTGCAGCTGATGCTACGAGTCCTCTGCGCACGAGAGGAAACTTGGACTCTGCACTTGCTGAAAGGGTCAAACTTGTCGGTGATGCACCGGCTGGCAAGGAGCGAGATCAATCAGGGACGCTGTCTTAAAGAAAGAGGGATTGGAAGTGGGATAGAACGTACGATTTAAGAGAAGGATATTTCGGTCGTATTTCCACCATGCTTTTCTTAGAATGTAAACTTGTTTGTTTGGGCAGCGCTCAGCTTTTGGACACTTCTCAGATTGCTATCCGGAAGTAGGCAAGGTGTTATTGAGTGGATATGACTATTTCGGGCTGGTTTTTCACGGCTTGGCGGCTTTTTCACTTAAATGTTGGGTAATCGTTCTTTGGTGGGAATAATGGGTGGGCGCTTCTAGTATTTCCTACGTAATAGATAATCTTTTAATCTACATCCCCAAGTATCCCGCTCGTAGTATTATAGTTACCACATCCGCTCCACTTGGGATAGGGTATTGGATAGGCATGACAGTGTGAGGAAGCAAAGCATGTTGTAAACCTTTGCTAGCATGATACAGCTTCACATAACCATAGGATCTAGCGAGAGGCGTTTTTAAGTTTACGAGTTGTCGTAGTTATTTAGGGTGCAAAGCACGAGCACAGCGACCAGCATATAGGCGAGTATTTTCGAAAAAGCCTGTGCCCTTCTGCATCAAGCTCTAGTTATTGGGGCGGCTTTCAACATCCAGTCGAACAGATCCGGATCCTTACCTACGGCTTGTTTCTAACCTGGATGAGTTAACTAAACAAATTACAGCAATTTAATAACTACATCTGTAGCAACTTTGAAACGGCTTTAATGCTTAAGTCATTAAGGTTTCAGTTTCAAAATCCCCCCCTGTCTTATCAGCTATGATTGAAAGCACACTCAACACATCCCGCAGTGTTCAGTGGGCCAGCTGCTCTGGGATTGGTCGGAAGTTCAACCAGCCCCCATCCTGTGGCTGTTCAGCTGATGGTGATTTAGGGCCAATCAGCAAACACTTCAAACACTTCGCCTAGATGCCTAGCTGTGGCTTGCTATAGTTTCCATCTACAAAAGCCTCCCGGTCTATTCTCGGTCACCTCAATACAAATCTCAGCCTTCCCAGCTGATTTTGAAACTTAGGGCCGCCCCAAAATGTCGTCGAGCCTTTGTTACTATAATTGTTCAGAGCACCCTTATTCAATTTCACCTAACCCAGATATCTCGGGAGTCGGGGTATGCCTTGCGATTAATGGGAGGTATTATTGTTCGTTAACGTAGTTTAGGTCATAATCGGATATGCTACAACGGCCGGAATAGTTGTTTTCATTCTCCTTGTCTCTTATTTCACGGTTTACGATCCACTCGAGGACCCATTTCGAAAGGAAATTGGCGGTACCCCTACCATTCAATATCGGCCTAATCCAGTGGACGTCGTCTTCCTCAAGCTTACATCAGCTATTTGGAACAGGTTAAGGAAGAAAAATACACTCTCCTCTGTCGCCCCTCCACGTATGCCACGTAATACTCGTTTACATGCATCTTGTGTCAAAGTACGTCATAGAACCCTCCCGGCAATCTAAATCCCTTCTCATGGTCTATAGTGTGTTCAATCTATGAGCGACCTGCAAATACTAACCGGTACCTCTATTCTAATAAGCGGCTATGCTCAACTAAAATGCGGTCTCTCTGCCTACCACTGGCAGATATTGGTGTTCCTCGCTTGGTTCTCGAGTCTGACCCATCTGTCATGCCTCACGTTTCTCCGCAACTATCTGTATAATCGACCAGGAGAACGGGTCTGGAGGCTGATTGGAATGGCTATCATGCTTCTAATGCTACTTGTGGCCATGGTGCCAACGGGGAACTTCAATTGGAGAGCCAGTACTAATTCAACTCCGGTACCGTCCCCGAGTGACTACGCCATTTGCTATTTCAACCGAGCAAAACAAGCAGATAACATGACCTTCGGAACAATGATTTTCGCTATATTACTACTTAGTCTTGGGTTCATTTATAGAATTGTTCGGCTCCATCGATCGCTGTCGGTGAACGTCGTCGGACGGGCAAGAAGAATCCTTAGTGGACGGGCGCGACAGTTTTTAATTCAATTGTACAACAAGCTAGACATTTCAAATTCAGGAATGTCACTACGCCGGACAATGGCCTACCGCCCTTTCCTGGCGCTATTTCTCGCAACTAGAACTATAGTAGACACATGGACTTCGATGTTCTTTGAGGTGTGGCGCTTCCAGTGTTCCATGGATATTCTTAAGGCTGATGACTAGACTGAAGATACTGTGGCTCTTAGGTAGCTTTATCTGGGGCTTGACTAGGTTACGCCAAACTCTTGGTCTCAGTAATGGGGGATCAGGCGAATGGGCATTTGGTCAAGTTATCTCCATCCTGCAATTAGCAGCACCCCTGCTCACGATCTCAGAATATTTGTACCCAAGTAAGTCCATAAGCGCTTTTACACCATCAAATACTCATTTTGGTAGGTCAACCATCCGTGGATCTAGATCCACTCAACTTCATTCAACCGGACCAGGAAATGGCTGGATCCAACAACGAATCGGACTTGCCATCTCCTGCCGGTGAGCTGCTGGATCATCCGGACCGAAACTTCTACGAAAGTTCTAGTTGGGCTAACCTACTGATATACTTCGTCATCGCCGATGCATTCAGCTCTATGGTCGAGATTCTAGTAGCCTGGCCGAATGGACGGCGGAAACTACTAGAGCTCCTCATACCTGACAGAGAATTTTATTTCTCCTGGATTCCAGTCTCTGTACCACTGACACTAGCCTTGTTCATTCTTCTCTCATTCCTACTTGAGGACTTCAATCTCGCTCAAGGAAATCGGTTGAAAGAAGCAACACGAAGAAGATTGGATCGAGCTTTCAAGGCCCTTGTCTTTCTCTTCCTGCTAGTTAGAGAGCTTGATGTGGTTGACTTTTTGACTACCATGTGTCTGTGCTGTTCTTCGGCGCTTTATATTTTTAGTTGCTTGTGGTTTAGTATCAGAAGACCATGAAATCTAATCGACACCCAAATTAAGTTGAGATTGTATATTCACGTATCAAACTTTAGAAATCTCAAACAAGTGCAAAAATGTAGGGCTGATACTCTCGCAGAGTTTTGACCTAACCAGTGCTAGGCCACTCTAATATCAACCAAGAGAACTCCAGAACGGCCACGATATTCCGTGCATGCCATATTCTTCGCTGCCACCGGTCTACCGATCTCGAATGGGAATATGCAGAATGCAAAAACGATATCTCCCAGCACGTCAAGCCTGTATGAAATGATGCGGGTAGCAGTACAAAAGACGGATGCCGAATACACTCTTCAGAGCTCCTGAAAATGTCGTCTCCCTCAAATGCAAATTACAGATGCCCGGAACTAACAAAGCATCGTAGCCGCTCCATCGTTGCTATAAAGGGTGGCTGCCCACAATTACCAATGTCCAGTCGATCGCATCCTAGCATTAGCGTCATGTGGAACATACCAAGATGAAAAACTTTGAGTCCTATACGGCTCGAAAACCTGGTTGGCGTTCAAAGGCCTGCTAGGTGGCGTCCACCAGTGTAATCGAGGATGTGAAATACTCAGGTTAACTCAGAACTCCCCTCAGTACTCATTTATCTACTCAGTTCTGCCTCGACCTAGCTTTCTTTTATCTCTCCTTTCTCTAGTTCCCCTACTACCACCTCGCCCACACATGATTGATCGTGACAGTGCTTGATGCCGATGTACTCTTCGATCCTATCCGTTTAGATGTTACCAATCTTACCACCTTCTAAAGACGTGATACGAACTATATCTGGCATTTAGCTTTCAGGAAAATAGCGATAAACATTCGTAGCTTATATATGCCATACAGTACGTTGTTAGTATGGCATGCGATCCCGAGCTGAAGCCTCTTTTCGTAGCCTCAGTATAAGCCTTGTTAACTATATCTCCAGTCTTGTATCTGCTTCGGTCAGAGTTTTTCCGTTCCTAGCTGTTGGTTCTGTAATGCTGGCAGTCTCGATAGTGCAACTAGCATTTGACTACGGACTAACCTACCACCTCGATCCCCTCGCATCCTGAGCGGAGTTCCCTTCTTAGACGATATAGGATTCCTAGAAAATTCGCCGACCCCGCGAGCTTTTTTTTATTTTACCTAGGATATGGGCTGCTCAATGCTAGTGGTGTCCGATGTTGCTACCGAACGGTAAAACCCGGATTACTGCTATCTCGATCGTTCATTTTCCCACTTTCGTGTGGAGCTTAAGGAATAATCAAAGGGATTGGATTTTCTAGGAATTAGGCTGCTCACTAGATCTCTCCTTCACCATCGCGTCCGCTGATTTCGAAAATATTCCGCTAAGAGATTTGCAGTATCGTCGAGAAGATGCTCAAAATTTCTAGATCAAAACAACTGTTTCTCCAGCCTGATCGTAGTTGGCAACTCCGGTTACGAGATCCCAAGATTGTAATGCATTGCAAACAGGGTTGCGGAAGGCTGGTAATGTTAGGTTGGGACTAGGTGTACGTCTGCCCAAAGAAGATGTTGTCGTAAGAGAAGAGTGTTATTGGGTATTGGGTCCCCACAGACCCGCAATAACGACAAACTTTACTTTCTAAGACCAAATACACAAATTTTCTCCCCATAATTCGTCTGCTAACCCCTGATTCAATGACAACTTAAAGCCTTTTAGGTACGCTCTCAATGAAATTGTTGGGACGTAGGGGATCTGCCTCCAGGGGGGTTTAGGTGCAGTCAATCAACATCTCTTTATCAATTGCTCTACATATGTCATCTTTAAACTCCGAGTAGAACTCAACAATATTCTGCTTCAGAGTCTACCAAGGACGTTCGATGGGGTTAATACCTAGGGAGTACGAAGGCAATTTAGCTGCCTCTACGTCATGCGCTGCTAACCAGCCGCGTGTAGCATGGGAGGTGTAGATTAGAGCGTTATATATCTAAAATAAGACGTCTTTGTAATCTTCAAGGCGCGGAGTTTAGCATTTTGGAAGTGCCGACAAGTGTGCACAATTTCTTTTGGAGGCGATGTAAGCATCCGCCAACCCGTTTTGGTCATATCCTCTCGAGCGCATGAGATGGGACGCGAAAGTTATGGAGCAAGAATATCTTATTTAAATTCGACTTGACGGCTATATTTTCCGAAGGATTGGTTTTCACACGTTTAGTAGGATATGGGAATACAAAATAGAATTCTGTGGGGGTTTTGCAAGCGAGCGAACGATGATTTTTTCCAGTCATGACACCCTCTTCCACCGAGTTTCGAGTGTATTGTGTTGAATAGAAAACAAAAGTTTCAGGAGTATGTCGCCCAGAAAACACTTGAGGCTACCCAACCTTCCTAAACGGCTTCAGAGAAGACCGTAAGGCGATCTCGTAGCAAGCGATCGTGGAGCTGCTTAATGAAGCTCAACCGGCAATCCCGTAATACCCCGGCGTTGATTCACAGATGGAACGCCAATGACGAGCGCAGCGTAGGTGTACACAGTGTTTATACCTGCGTGATTTCCGTACTACGAACCCGGTCAGCCAGTTTCCTTGTATACTCATCCAATTGGCAGGACTTACTATTAGATGAACCAAGCCAACACTCCTCCATAGCGGCTCAGTCAGCCAGTTGACCTTGAAGTACCCTCCACCGACCTCCCTGAGTATATCGTTGGAATCTTCGCCATCATAGACTCCCCGTTCTCTCGTAACTACAGTTTGTAAAGGCCTGACATGATCATGGGGTTCGGCTGTGGCTCTCTCCATCTCTTCACCTGAATCATCATAGTCAGATGGAGACTGGAAGAAATGGTCGTCAATTATTCAAGAATGGGCCGAACGTGGACTTTGAGACCTAGAGCGCGGAAGACAGAGTATACCTCCATATCAGGGCCCTTAAGGACAGCTAGGAGAGTCTCGATGCCCGAGATCGTGGAGTGAGCATATGCGTGGCGACAGTAAATCTCCAAATAGCCCTCTATTACGGATTAATTATATACCCCTACTGGGTGGATCGAGATTCCTTACCATTCTCCATGAATGTTGGCTCCGCTAGTGCCTCTTTAACCTTCTTATACAATGGCAGAGAATTGACATCTATAAACCGGACTATTGCTAACAAGGTCTCTAACTCTGGGCGCATAGTATAGGTTGTGTGTTAGAGTGATGCGGGAGAACGTCCGATCATGTGTGGAAGCCTGGAAAGAGTGGTACAAAGAAATTAGTGCAGGCAGCAGCATATCTCAAAAGTCATGAATCATGGGATTCGCGTCAAGTAAAAGTGTGACAGTGTGACAGACAGAGAGGGTTCATGCAAGGGATAATATGGTTATGGCCAAGAGGAATTCCATGGCCCTACCTAAATTGTGTGGGGGTGATCTGGTCTACAATACATTGCGACGAAAAACCAGCCGCTTCAACGGGGCATTAACTATTCCCCAAGGGTAGAAAACGAACCAGGACTAAGCCGCTCTTGTGTGTTTTTCTCGTTCTAAAGACGCATTTTAGTAGTGGAGTGCTGATTAGAGAGCAACAGTCACGAAATTCGAGCCATTGCTGGTGACGGCTTCACAACATTGTCCTCTAATATCAGTTTTTATTCTGAATGCCACAATCCCACAGCGCTTCTTAGCCTACGGGTACAAAGTTTGAACGCTTGCACGTACACACCAAAGTAGTCGCCTTGATGAGCAAAGTTCACTCTGTTGTGCCAGTATGGTCTAAATTGACTCGCTCTTCGTAGGGAGAGATTCTGCAAATCAGAGCACAATAGCTGTAGATGACACCAGCCTCTGACGCTAAATCCGCATACTGTCAAGCGCATAGTATTAGCGTACCTTTATTATTATAGAGTGAGTGGATGCTTACCGGAGCGACATAAGCAATTTCTACATTTCCTTCTGCCTCAGCACGGTTCTGTAACCAGGTAACCTTGTGTAGAGAATGCGGATATTGGTCATAATAATCACGCATAGTCGTTTCGTTAGAATATCGATCCATTGTATATGGATCACCAAAATCATGACCGACATGATCAAGACCTTGGAGATCCTCCACTTCACCGAGGTCGCCAGCTGAATAGAAATTGGAAATATCCTGAAGGACTGGACGGATGCAAACAGGGAGGTCTAGGGAACGAAACACTTCATAGATCGCCATATCAGAACCCTTGAGAACAGTTGGCAAAGCAGCAGCACCCGCATTCGTACCATGAGCGTAGGCGTGACTGCACTTCCAGCCAAGGTGGCCCCCTAATATTGCATCATCAGCAAATGCGACCGGAAGGCTGCAATTTCGATGTACCTTTTGGCATGAATTCCGAATTCACAAGCGTTTCTTTGACCTTCTGGTAGAGTGGTAGCTGCTGGAAGTTGATTACATCGCAATTCCCAGCCAGATCGCCTAAACCGCGCGAAACACACAACTTGTAGGTGAACACCAACCGGTGCCCCGAGGTAACTTCAAGGACCTCGTGTTCGCAATCAGTGTAAAAAGCTGCCCATTGAAGGGAGTTTGAAGATTTAGACCAGTCAAAAGTGGTGGAATGGCCACGATGACGGACAATCAATTGGCCACCTTCATGCACACAAGGAAGGCAAACAACAAGGGTGCCAAAATGCGAGGCAGACTGTGGAGTGTCAAAGTGGGCCTTGAACATGCCCGATGGAGACGTATATACCTGCCCTCGAATTAGTCTCCTGATGAACCACAAGAATGAGAAAAGTAATCACATGCAACTTGCTTAGCTCCGCTCGAACTCCATGATGGCCGTTGGGAGACGTCGCATTCGGAAGGAGCGCTTGAGCAATAGCATCAACTATCCCAGCTGTGTACGGGCAGAAATTGGTAGAAAATGCGGATGGTTTCATCTCTAACGCCTTCCGGTAGCGTTCATCTGTGGCCTCCATTCCATTACAGCCAAAGGTTGCCGGTTGGGCGCACCTGAGGAGTTCTGCTAAGGCTTCAGCATCGGCTGTATTGCTGCCCAGATCGGCCGGTAGTACGAGCTTGCTGTTGGTCGTGGCAGCGTCCCAGCGAATGGTGACTGGAGAAGCCAGAGGCTTCGGCTTAAAGCCCTCCTGGTTCTGACCTGTCACGTTGAGCTCTGATCCTTGAATGGAATTTTCGCCTCCACAAGCGTAACTGCACGATTCGGCGATGAACTTTGCAAGCGCGTCGGCAATGGGGCCAGTAGAGGAGTCGTATTCGTCGGTCGAGGCGTCTAAGCCTGGCGGAGACGGTGACATTATCGGGGATTGGCCTTGTAGTGCAGAGAAATCGTGCATGAGATGTCAAGATCGCAGGGGTTGATTGCTAGCGGAACGCGGGGGACGCGCCCGATCACATGTGCAATCCCATCTAACAGGACATCGGGAGGTCGCAGGTAGGGCAAATTAGGCAGCTATGGGTTTCAGTGGTTTCGCTGCAATCACGCCATGGTAGGCGATCTCCTAGGCAAAAAACACACATGATGAAAATCGAGAGGCCGAAATTCAATCCCATGCGTTGTTCGCGCGATAGTGGTTGGGGATGATGACGTTGAGAAAAGCTTAGTGTTGGTGGATGAAAACAATAAATCCGGCTCGCAGCGGTTAAAGCCGATGTCTTGGCTGAGCCTTACGAGGCTAGCTTCAATATCGAGGCTAAACGGCAATGCCACGTGAAACCAAGTTTCGACGCTAGAAAGGGTCTCAGAGTCTTCCATCAAGCTTCCATCCAATTGTGCCCCGCAGATAAACCCCCATGTCGACGGCTGGCAAGGTGGTGCAACCGAATCCGATATTAAAAGCAATCCTGTGGGTCAAGGCGGTGCTTATTGCGGCGGCCTGTGCACCGGAGACTATCATTCATGAATCACTCTTCAAAGTCCGACGCCGTTCCTCACTTCCCTCGCAGCGACTCTCCACAAAATTCCCCTACCAACACGCCTCTGGGTTGTCCCACTCATCACAGCCCCCTTACTTCCCCCGAATCCGCTCTGGCTGCCTGCACCATAAGCAGTCCCGTCAACCCTACTCCAGCTTTCGTCTTGCACCAGGCTTGTAGCGCGACGCTTGCTCATCCTCTTGCACCGTGCGCGTCCTGGATGCTGTGGGACCACTAAGTGATGATGCGATGATCGAACTCACACCCCTCATTCCCTGGAAGACCTGCTCATTATAATTACGTGGTACACGCACAGATCTCTGTGACCTCGGACTTGCACATTTTGGTCGTCTTGGGCGCTGCATCCTCCAACACCATTTCAGGTGCATCAAAGATATATCCTTGAGGGAGCGTAAGCGCAATTAAGTTCACACTCCGGATCCTCTAACGCTCAGCCTATCGGGACGCCACAGCTCGCCTTTTCTCGTATCCTTCCCACTGCCGCCTCTCGCTTGTACATACATCTATAAGCCCCATTCCCCCCCCGTGTTGGAGCAGTACTGTTCGGGAGGAATTCACGTTGAATTTGCTGGCCGTCCGGCCAGTGCAACATTATCACATGACTTTTGAAGTGATACCGGCTTTCGCGTCGTTGAGGATCATAGGACTCCGTATTCCGTTCGCACTTCAACATGCTCGATGGCGTGGTTGAGGTGCTTGAGGCCCGACGGACTGCCCCCATCGGCGACCGCGGAATTATCGTGAGCTCTGTGTCGTGGGTAATGCTCGTCGCTACCATCTTTACCCTTCTCACGCGTCTTGCAATGAAGTTGGCATTGTCTAAGAAGGAACACAAATTTGGGCTTGATGATGTGTTCATTATTCTTGCCGCTGTAAGTCTAGGGTGTTTCTTCCATGGATCAAAGACTAAGAGACGTAGCTTTTCAGTATCGGCCAGACAGCTTCTGTGTCTGTAGAGGCAATGAATGTCTTAGGGCAACATTTTGGAGATCTAACTGCTGGCCAAAAAAAAATCTTCCAAAAGGTATGTCTGGCCCGATACCTTTTCAGTCTCACACTCATTACCACAGGCCGAGTATGCTGGATGTATGCTATACATCGCCAACATGGGCTGCGCCAGAATATCAGTCTGCCTCTTGATTAAGCAGATACTCCCTGGCAGAACCCCCAAGATCACGGCTCTCGTGTTTGCCGTCTTTTCTTTCATTTGGTCCGTCTCGGGCGTAATTGTCACAGCCTTTCCCTGCCATTTACCCAAGCCTTGGGACTTCTCGAGCGGCAAGTGCTACAACATAGTCAAGTTTGTAAACTACCTTGGTATTACCAATTGCGTGTTTGAAGTTCTTCTCGTTATGATACCCCTATTTGTCTGGAATCTGCGTCTTACCGCTGGGAGGAGGGTATCTGTTTCTTTCGTCTTCCTCACCCGCTTAAGGTACGTATCAGTCCTACATATCATAGACGAGCACTTACGTTAATACAGCATTGTGGCTGTTGTCATTACTCAACTGGTGTTTTTTAACCGCTACTGCAAATCTCCCGACATCACATACTCGTACTGGCGCACCATCCTGTGCATCCAGATTGCACAAAACCTCTCCATTATCACCGCCTGCCTACCATGTCTGCATCCGTTCATCCTCGGAATCTTAGCTGGTACAACACAAACTGAATGCTTTGCATTTCAGTGCAAAACCAGATCACATTTTCAAGACTATTTCCGAAGAAAGAGTTTCAAGCTGGATTCTCAGCGCTCCTCAACATCGCCCACCCCAATGCGCGAAGAGAGCTACTGTGCACCACTTGCCACCTACGGTCTCGACCGCTCCTCCGCACATCTAAACTCCCAACACTTCAACCGCTTCCCTACGAACGTTGCAACTCCGATCGTGGGTAACAACCCTCCCGAAAACATCTTCAACCGAAGTATCGAGATTCCCCGCTCACGACCCGGCACATCTGCCTCACAGATAGGCCTCCCAGCTGTCCCACCGAAAACTCTCAGCCAAGTCGGCGTCCTGCCAATAATAGACTGGGACACAGACAGCAGCGACCGGGACTCTGGGAGAAGTTCACCGTCACGAAGGCCGAATTCAGACTATGTGTTCAATCGAGAGAAAGTAATTTCAGTCCCGGAGGCGGGGAAACTGTACGAGGAGGATTATTGGAGAAGATATCCGCCGCCACCGGAGAAATAGTGTAATTTTCTTTCCTGTATTGCATGGTAGAGTATGGGATATAGACGAATAATGAATTTCGCGATTCGGACAACTTCAATTTCCGCTTCCATTACCCCGTGCACGACATCAACACTAGGTATGCTCACGATACCCAGAACTTCAAATCACGCAGAAATGCATTTTACATACGCCTTGAATCGAGATTGAAAAGGGGACAAGCAAGCAACCGTAAAATCAACCCATTTCTACATAACACGCAGCATGCTTCCACGATCATGCCCTCACCGATCAGATCCCAACACATCCTCCTACCCGACCCAACCAATCACCACCACACCTGTGAAATCCAAACTCGGTTCTCCACCCACGTGCACTGCACCCATCCGTCTCACCCACCTCAGGCTCTGCCTGAACCCAATTTCCTCATCCACGGTCCATCCTCCCATCGCGCATCCTGCGTCAAGCATGCTTAGTACGTACCCCCAGTTCAGTCCAGCGTCCTCCTCAAACCCATCCATCACACCTCTCTCAACAAAAGACGTAAGTGTGAACAGTGCACATCCATGCGCATAAGCCCTATTATCGGAGAGCGAAGTGAAGAGGACCAGGGTTGGAAATGTGCTCGATGATGATTTGCTTCGGTGTCCGAGGTGTGCACGGATGGGATGACTGAGGGATCGACGTTGGACCAATCAGATGCGAGGTATAGACAGCGGTGTGTTTTATGCGTTTGGGCTGGGACTTGGGGCTGAGTTTTGAGGTGATTGTTTGAGTAGGAGAGTTACCGAATTTGGTTGCGGAGGATGATTGGTGGGAAGGTTGTGAGTTGGTGTTGGGAGATAGAAATAGTCACGTGACTGTACTCGGATTGGGTGCTCCAGGATTGGGCTGGAAGTTGGTGGATGGTGCGAATGCGCTAAAACTCTACATACCCATCATAATATTTTACGCCGACTCGAATCTCGCCCATTGCCCATCAATCGTCTCAACTCTTTACTCCACTCATTGTGGCCCTTACTCTTTCACTTCCGCAGACTCTCCACTCCTCGAGAATAAGGTTCGGAGAAGTCTGGAAGCCCGTTGCGGATCACTTCCTCATCCTTCGCAATTCCCAGAGGAAGCGGAGTTTTGATGCTCGGTTACTATCGTTCCCCTTTTCCAGCAGGAAATTTGAACTTGTACTGCAAGGCTGTGGCACATCGCGTAGAGCATAGATTATTCGCTTAAAGTTGGGGACAAGCCAATATTCAAGGGTCTAATGTTTGCCCATGTTGTAGAGAAGTGCATTGAGGTATTCACTCCATACATCAGTTCGTCGAAATTATTCAAATGTAGGACATCTAGGGAGAATTAAGTTTATGCTCAAAGCATTAAGAGAGACAAAAGCAACTTTCAGTCTACTATGCCGGGGGAATGTAGGCTATCTGCTAGGCACACTACGGGGCATACTTGAGGTGTTCTGTTCTCCGATGGAAAGTTTGACGGGGGACATGCGTCAGAAGCACTGCCACGATTCTTGACGTGGCCGAGTCCGACCGGTCATGGAAGAATCCTTGAGCAAGCCCACTGCTCGGCCCTCTTTGCGCTTTGGAATGATACTTGGATTATTTCTTTTGTCAATCTTGCAGTCGGAATTGCTCGGATCTGGCGCAGGTGGGGAGAGATCCTGCTGTTGAATGGGGAGAGATCTTCACTACAGGTACGGAAAATAGAACTGTCATACCTAGGTATCCAGGTCGATGCCGTGGAGTTGGAAGGGGGTTCTAAGGGTGAATCACGCTCTGGGTTGATATATGACGGGGGGAAATGGGGATGAAGTGAGGACCTGTAGTATCTATCTCGTCAAAAGGAATGAAGGATCCAGGTTATGATTCAAAATGAGGAGCAATAAAACCGAGTCAGGTAGCATTTTACCAATGTACTGAGTCCGTGAATGTTTTTGATGTTCGTACATCGCATTCTTTCCTCGTTTAGATGTCCGGACGCTCCCCGGCAACATCGTAACTTACATCACCCCTATCCCAATTTCCATCTGCATCTCCTCCGTCCAGCGCAGCACCATGGTACAAGTCTATCTTAGGCAAGCGCTATCCCGCTTCTGGACGGTACCTGCCATGTGTGTGTTTTAAGGTTTCTGCGTGCCATGCTATGATTTCGTTTAAACGTTGAACTCTTAGTATGGCCACAGCATCATTCTGTGAGGTCGTACTGCATTCTTGTCTTATCGGAGGTCGTTGCGATCTCATCTAGTTATCAACCCTAATTCCGCTATGGTACAACATATCAAACTTGTTTACATCCAATCTCTAATATTGATGTAGAATCCTGTAAAGGGAATTGATAGCCCTCAGAACTGTAGGTTTATCCATCTTCCAAATTCCCGCTCACGAAAACTACCAATATAGCAGCGTAGGCGGCGCTCGCGGCAGATATCTCCTGGCGTTTTGCACTCGTCAGTAACCCAACGCTGGCTGCAAACAGAGTGGTGAAGCCGGCTCTCATACCCAATTTCGCCCCGGATCTGTTTACGAAGCACAGGCTAGTGATCGCACCGATCAAAAGGACGACAGCGACTAAAGTACTGATGATGGCGACCACCAATCTTAAATGCAACTCGGGGAGCTGCTGTGTGCTACTGCGAGGGTCTGAATATGATTTCGCTTGGAATGACCAACAATCGCGGAGGAATTTCGATAGAAGATTGGCGTCAAGGGGCGGACGAAGAGCTACTAGGTCCTTTGAATCGTCTAGCATGTATTTGGCTTTTCCGGTAATGATAGGGTTGGGCTTTGTAAAGAAGGAGCGAAAGGTCTTCAACACACGGCTGCTAGGTTGGTCGAGGTTGCAGACCTGGGTTTGGAGGAGCGCCTCATCTCTAAGATGTCAGAAGGGCAAGACAGTACACTGCACGGGATTTGCTCACGATATTATTTTATCTTATCTTTTAGTTCTTTGTCAAGATTCATTCGCTCATGTTCTGGTCGATTCGAATCCTTCGTATACTCTTCGAATGTTTCCCAGCGCCTCATGGACTGCCGGACCTAGAAATCTTCGCTGGACCTTGTAGCCTGGTCTTAGCGATCTAATCAGGATTCAAGATCAATCACCTGACCCTGGAGACTAAGTAGATTGCGTGCGCTCAGTATTTCGAGCTTCGGAAGATGTAGGACTCATTGTCTGGATCGTGTGCAATCCAGAATGTAAGGCTGGGATAGCCACCCGGAATCTGCGCTGCTTTTTCTTGGACTGAACTTCCGTTTAATGCTTGCATCATCGAAAACGGATGTAGCAGCGGCTGAAGACGTATTCGCTCCTTTTATTTTAATGTTGTTGCTTATTGTCATGTGGTGCCATAACTTAGGGGGTGTGGGCAAGGCTGCACTGAAGTCCTGGAAAAGACAACGCAAACACTTCCTCTCCTGTATATATCCGTCGCAGTAGAGTGGTTATTGAGGCTTCCTCCGAACTACTGATATCATGTCATGCTTCGGTTTCTACACTTAGTTTTGCGACATTCCTGATCACCGGTTGTCTCTCCCTCCAAAGTTCATTTTTCGCCTTACCGAGTATTAGTCAATTTCAGTGCTTAATCGCCATATCCACGCTGTCTTCATTCACCGTAGGGAGATCTTTACCCTTCTTCCGTTACATCTGTTTTGGCTCCAGGATCTCGCGATTTATTGCGATGAACAATGTATTTTCTACTGCTGGCTCTTTAGAGTCACTAATTCAAGTGTGTGATTCTCTGCTAAGGGTTGGACTACACTCATATTGAGTAGATTGCTTGAGCTACCAAGGCCTTCGCAGACCATAGAAGAAGCTTCAGTTGACAATGGCAGAGCTTTAGCATGCATTTTTCCTAACTGTCCTATTCCGTTCGCTGGGGAATATGCGAGAAGCAATGTGCGCCGGCATTACGAACTCTAGCAGAAAGAAACCCAGCCGCGCTTCACGCACGAAGTGAGTGGCTGTAGCAAAGTACTCCGGAGAATAGAAGCTATACGGATACATTATCACGATTTCCCTCCAGATTTGGTAAACAACTACCCGATTCCGATTCGAAGGAACTCGCAGTGCATTGATTCATCACCCCAATTCTGGACTCTTAGGGACGTATCCCAGTACGAGCACTACATTCCGGGATATATACGGACCGCTGGAATTACTGCGTTTCCAGATAGTTACTCTACATTGAACATTGTTTCCGAAGAATTTGTCCGTCGAGAGGGACTCTCCATCCAAAACACCACTAGCCGGACAATCACGCTCCCTTCCGGTAAATTCATAATTTCATTGGGGAATTTGACGTCTCTAGTTGTATTTGAGGGTGAGAGAGCTACCTATCATGTTGAATTTGCTGTTCTGCCAGGTTGCATCCATAATGTAGTCCTTGGTAGTAAATTCCTCAATTCCACCGAAACTCTTCGGAAGCACATAGGATGGCTCAAGGGGACTATGGAAGCGACTTCCCTCTCAAAAGCCCAAACCTGTCTTATTGGCCAGCCACATCAGCAGGTGCATGGGACGATCAACGGGCACTTTGTCTCGGACTCTCCTGATACAGACATACACGTCAATGTTATATTGAAGGATTTTGCTATATTCATGTCCTCAATGATCCTCTAGATCTGGATCTCATCGCCAGTCTGCAATCCATGGACGGCTCCACGATGGATACTTGTGGTATTGTGTCTGACGCAGAATGGACGTTCGGAGAGCATCATGAAGCCCCTGAACAGAGTCCAGAACGGCAGCAATCCCTACAAAAAATAAACCAAGATGCTGGGGGGCGAGATTTTGGTTCCGATTCAACATCTTCCGACACCTACATCTGCGATTTCCACGTCGTTGAACATCTAACGGTCCCGGTCATTCTCAGCTCTGACCCCTTGTTTGGCACGAATGCCTTTAAAGCGTGTGTAGCATACTTCTACGAATCGTAAGATCATGAAGAAGGGGGGAACAAAAAATCCGAGGTATGATTTATTCGTGCGAATAAAAAAGACAAGTCAATTGACAGAGTGGGAGAGCGAGCTCATCCGCCGTGGCGGGCAGATTGATCTAATTGCAGAATTGTCCCCCCAAGACCAGTGAAGTGCGCAAGGAGTAGAAAATCGGCGCATCGAAGAGTAGGACCGGGCATACGCTGCCCGGCAAACCCCTCCACAGGGTGTGCAGCAGAACCCTCTACTTGCTAGGTCGCAAAATTACACACTTGCTGGACAGCAACCACCTCCACAGGCGGGACAGCAGACTCCTAGCTAGGTGCATTCCCATCATCACGAAGGCCCTAAGAGTGTTGAATCCGGTAATTAGTTTTGAAACGAAGCGATCTATCGACGAACGACACTGGCTCATGCCTGTCAAAGGTCTACACTCTTCCAGAGGTCCACTTACAAGATGGGTTCGGATGTGAAGCCAGAGCAAAAGGTCAACCTTTCGCTCGTGGGAATTGTACTTCTTATATCGGAACTTGGTCAGTAACAATATAAAACGTCCATGGTCGACACGAACAGCTCCACTAGGATTCATGGAAGTCTCGGCATTATTCCACCGTGAAATATGAATTAGGATTACTGGCAGAAGTGCAGATCTCTATAAAATAGCATACCTAGGTAGCATGTAACCATTAGTAATGGCGAAGGACGAATCCGCGCTGCTGCAGCGAAAGGAGAACGAGAGTTTGAGAGGAGAGAAAGTGCTTGTGAACTAAGCCCCACACATCCAAGTGTGCGATGAAGAGTATTGCAGCTAATAACCCAACTATGAGTTTGTGTTCAGGGCGATAAAGACTCGTTCGAAGCTACACCAATCTGAATGCGCGCTATTTTGAATACAGTCCTAGACACGGGACTCGCCGAAGACATGCCAGCATGGAAGGATGCGAACGACTGCATGAGATGGGTTATCTTCGTCACCGTATGAACCCCAACAAAACGCACATCGGTCGTTATAGAATGCATCGTTGGGTTTGGCGGGAACAATTATATTTCGGTGGAGTTTGCTTCAACGGCAGCTAGAAGACACTTGTAGATGCAGAGAAGTTGGACTGTGTAGTATGTGTTGGAGTTGGGGATTCAGTTGGAACAAATTGAAATGATTGCAAAAAAGTGACTTTATATAGAGCGAGGACTGTTATGTGACTATACAATAAGGGCCAGCGTTTCCAACAGGAAGTAGTACGATTAATACTTTTGCTCTACCTACAATCACGTAAGGCAAACAAACGTAACTACATTTTTAACTGTTACAATTTAATTAATAAGGCTTAAAAGTGAGCAGTATATAATTAAGGTAGACTATTTTAAGGTTGCAGTCTCTAACGCGCGTGAGGGCTAGGGGAACGTGTTTATGCCACTATTTACGTGTTAGTGTAGCCTTAGAGCTTGCCCTGTACTACAACAACCTTTTAGACAACCTTATTATAGCAAAAGATAACAGTTCCTTGTATAGAGAACCTCTAGATTAGTGGCTCTAGGTTGGTTAGCGCGACTATCCTGTACTCTTTAAGATGGCACTTAATTTCCTATGTATACCCTCTATAAGCTGTGACTGCGAGAGCGACTGCAAGAGAGCCTTTAGCAGGGGGAAAAGGACAGTTACTTGTAACTGTAATTATCTCTTAGGCTTTATAATTAAAGCTTTACAACTCTAGAAGAACTAGCTACGTTATAAGGTTGTTTTTAGCAAATTAAATAACCTTACGTGCTATATTAAGAGTAAGGGGGACCCTGCTACTCTAAAAGCTTTAACAGTTACGTTGTAACTTTTAGTGAAAAGTTAAGAAGTATAAGCAGCTTTAATTAAACTGTAACTTAATTGTATTAACCCCTGCTGTTAGGTGAAGCAAACAAAAGTATATGATAAGTGAGACGTAACTTGTCTAGAAAGCCTGAGTCGAATCGTACTACTTCCTGATGGAAACGCTGATAAGGGCTGTATTTGTGGATCTATGCAAGACATAGAACGATTATGCCACCATTAAGTGAAACAGAATATAGCGGTGCATCTAACCTGGGGTACTATTAGTCACCCATAGAGCAGAGAAAATCTTTGAGATCTGCCTCTGCACGTGGGAGTGCTTTTCGAGGTTCACGTTTGCGTGCTAGCGTTCTTGGCGCTTGCCGGGAACTATATCAACAAGCAAACTCTTACCAGGTCAACTAAAGCCGCGTCTCCTTTGTTGTAATCCGACCTAGCGACAAAGCGTGACCCCACGTATCGCCATGGTGGTAAAAAAGGGCAAGATCAACCTCAAGCGCCGTGATGGGGGTGGACTTCCACCCCCAAAGCGTGCGCGACAGGGAAGTGTTGTCAAGAATAATGGACCAAAGAAAGTCCTAACTTTCCTCGATCTCCCGGGCGAGCTACGCAATGAGGTTTATCGCCACACTCTCGTAAAGGGACGTATCGTTATCACCTCTCGTTCCGAGAAGCAACTCGAGACCTACGGCGACGTTAACACCCTTCCCCATAACTTTCGTACCCATTTTCGGAACATGCCAACCTTGGCCAGACCGGTTCGAAAGAGAGCCGTGTGGATAGCGGACCCGATGACAACCCTCCGTTACGACCAGCGAAGCCGGAATGGAGGTGGTGTGAAGCGGTATCGTGCCAGCTATGAAATCGATGAGGTAACATCGAGCATCAACATCAGCCTACTTCTGGCGAACAAGCAAATCTACCATGAGGCAATAGGGGTCTTCTTCGAGGAAAATCTCTTCTCCTTTGAGGCTCGGTGGGAGGACATGTGTTTTGCACCACTCACGTTCCTCAGCGATCAACCGCGTGCTTTCGACTCGCTTCGCTCGTTGCACCTCGACATGAACGCCCCACCACCGTTCACTTGTTGGGACTATACGAAAGACCGCGCCGTGTTAGTGACAGTTCCTTCCAATCATTTTTGGATGATTCTCGTCAAGGAGTTGCAACGCCTGCCATTGCGCCACTTTGGTCTCACGGTGCACGGATCCGTGCCAGAAGGACTCGAAATCAACTTTGATTCTATCGAACGGGACCTGCCATGGGTGAAAGGCCTGTACAAGTTGGAATCAATACAGAGCTTACGCCTGGTCATCCAATGCTGGCCATGGTATGACATCAATTTCTCGAGGTCTGCCATTCCGAGCACTGTAGCATTCGTTGAGGGTATCCAACGCAAGTTGCTCAAAGATAAGAGTCCCGACAAAGACAATGCCGCCCAGGTCTACAAGGCTTTGCATAGGCATGGCACCCATGTTATGGACAGCCACTTAGTCGTACGGTGTGGTAACGATGCGGGTTCCTATGGTTATGAATCTGGATGTGGCAGCCCGCATAATGCGTGGGTCCAGATCGAAGACTGGAAGGAACGCGTGGGTGAAATAACTGACGAGTCTTTCTGGTATGATTGAAAAGACTAAGCGGCTATGCAGTCGGTAGGTGCAAAAGTCACCCAATGTTAGAGTAAACATGAGCTAACTATGGAAGGGCAGAGTTGACGGAGCACCGGTCTCTTTGTTTGGGCAGTTGGTGACTCAAGATTTGCAATATTTTAAGGATTGTTTCAATGTCAAGAACAATCTGGCTATTTTGCATTGATCTGAAGTCCCGTGGTCCGTACGAATAATGGTTAGTCGCCAGGGAAGCATCAGTCATTTTGGATGCAGAGCTTAAAGGGAATACAGAGAGGGTACCTACATAGTGTCCACACAATACTATGAACTCTGGTATACTACGGTTCAATTGTACTCAGGGGAATTTTTGGTACAACATGAATGAACACAGATTGGGAGTGTGGAACCATCTTAACTACGTCCAACTACAGACATCGTGAGGCCCAGTCCTCCTGAGCTTGGGTTTAAAAAGGTAAATATGCGCGGTAGTGTTGTAGGACTATATTACGGCCCACTTTTCCGCTCTACATAGTATATATGGTACGCAGTCACGCTTTTCGCTTTCAAGAGAAACCGAAGCGGGTATAGCGAGAGTAAGAATGTAAATGGAACCCTGTGAGTTTGATTTTAATAGGGAGCATTAATATTTACTCTTGATATATTGTGTGGGAAGTATGCTCATTGAAGTCGTAGATGAAAATGGTGAGGGCTTAGAGGATATGATGAGATAGGAGCACAACAGACCAGTCAACCATAAACATATTATCACCGCTCTCCGGCATGAAACTACCTCAAAATAGCTCTATATTCACCATTGCTACAAAATAGAAAAAAAAGTCCTCTTTCAATATCATGCAAGATTAAACCCATGAATTTGGGCCAATTACTGGTTTCAAAACGAAGTCTGGATTCACTTGAGGTGCAGAATCGTACCCAACTACTTTTACCAGTACATTTCTCCTCAAGAACACACCTCCCTCTCTATGTCTAGAGTGAAATCACTTCCCCAAAAACCTCATACACCTGAGGGTATGATGTGTAGTCACAACCCTCACCGGTAGCCTATGCGCCCGGCACTTCGCGCAGGTGACCTTATTCATCTTGATATCGCACTCACCTTCAACATGATCATTGATCCTATTACACCGCAAACAATAAACAGCAACTCCCCACCTCGGAGCCGGTTTCTGCTGGCCCTGCAACTCGGCTGCCTTGCAGAGCTCAAAATTAGCACGACGAGATTGTGGAGATGGCACTAGTGCGGGATCAACGGGTATGAGGTCTTCGACTTTAGTGTGTACGAGAATGTGCATTGTGGGTGAGCGGCCGCGGAGCCGATATCCTGTGGAATGGTTGGAGGCTTCTTCATCTACGTTTTCATTTTCGTCTTCAACTTCTTCGGATACCTCTACGTTGAAATTCTTGCTATCAAGCGGATCGTAATCCAGTGAAACAGTCTCCCAAACCTGGGCCTCGTTTTCCGCCAGAACTCGTGGTTTCGAGAAACAATCACGGTCTGGCTCTGGCACAGCATCCTGAACCATGATGCCTGCGCAGAGCATGGCGCAAGCAGCGCTATCCCCGCTATTGGAAGCACAGCTGATATCCATACCCATAACCCCAGCTAGTTTCCGTAGACTAATGTTTGATGCTCCAGATCTTCCTGTTTCCCGCGCAAGGTCTTGCGTATCTAAGATTCCCACGACGTGATCCATCACCTCGATGTTGATACTGTACTTCCAGTGTAGCTTGCGAATAGTGTCGTGTATCGCGTGGCCTAGGACAACAATAGGGCGGAGCGGCGCCTTTGGATTTGGACTACTTGGGTTTGCTTTCTGGCCTAGAATCTCTTTAAGGATGTTCGGACCCTGGGTCTTAGTCACCCACTTCGTCGTCCCGAACCGGAAGTTTTCTGGGTTGTGGTGACCGTATCGCCGGTTTCGTAAATGGCCGTACTCGCGGATGCGGAAGTGCATGGGTACCATGGTAGTCGCGATTATCTTAGCGTAGGAGATTTCAGCGGAGGTCTTAATATCGCGGCTATCAACTAAAGTGATGCCCAATTCACTTATTTCTCGTGGCTCGATCTCGTGGATCGTGGCGTCGAGGCAGATGAGGAGTATGTCAGAAAGTGGCCCTATAAAGAGGTGGGCGAAGTCTTCTAATTGTGTTATGCTAAACTGCGCGCGAAAAGCCTTGTTATCTCCAGGCTTCGGAAATGAACCGGATTTCGACATCCTGATAGAACATTCGACGAGGGCTAGAGGGTTTGATATCGGTGGATGTGAAGGCAGTTCGAACACAGCTTCTGGAAGGAAGCGGTGGCGGAAGGGTAGGTCAATGAGCGTGAAATCTCTTATCCCGTCGTGAAAGAGAGTGAATGAAGCAATCGGACAACGTACGGAGTCTCTATGCAGAGTTTCAGGATTAACGTGAACGGATCATGTATTTTCCGGCTCCAAGAGAAGACACGGTCACTTCAAGCTGCTAGAAGAGAGTGGAAGTAGATGGAGCTAGATTGTGCATCACCCTATATATGTGCTCTTTCAAGGAGATGATCCTATAGCACCACAACCTACGCACGACCTCGGTGTCAGTTCTCAATATATACGGGATATGTTTTAGAGAAAGCAAACCTTGACATATAGGCGGGCATTGTTAGAGAGGACTCTTCACTTGCTTTAGTTAGCTGCTACTCCTGTTCCATCTGCTTAAGCCTCATGTTAAGCCAAGCTCCATATCCTGCAAACAATCCAACATTTTTCAATGTATCACAATATTTAATGAGATCTTCATATCTCTGCCTCATATATTTCCGCTTCTCGTCTTCACTTCCACCCTGCAACTCGCAAGCCACCGCGTACGAGACTTTGCTTAGACAAACGGGACACAAATATGGCGGCTGTCGTATATCTTCCGCCATCCCAGCCGTTCCTTGCATGTTGCACGCATAGTAGACGCAGTGGTCCATCCCAAGACAGTGGCCGAGCTCATGAGCAACTGTTCGGGCGAGACGTGAGAACCAGAGGGCTACAAACTCCTCTTTTGACAAAGGTGGGAGAACCGCTGCAGCGGAGTCAATAGCTTCGCGTATTGGAGAAGCAGAAAGGGTAGCCTCAAAGTCAGGAGTTTCCACAATTTTGGTTTTCTTTGCCTTGGGTTTCTCGAGTGCGTCTGCAGCACACAGTCCGTCTACATATTTCTTGCAATGAGAAGCTGGCCACATATGCGCATGGTCAATTCCCGCACTCTTGTCGAGGCTCGGATGATATCTAGCGGTTGATACTACTGCGATGCGACTTCCTCCATACGCTCGTCCGCAACAGTAGTCATCGTCCTCGTCCTCGTATATATCATGATCCGTTAGAATCATGATGGAGTACGCATCTTCAGGTAGGATTTGCAGAGCCGCATCAAGTATGTCGTTGAGATTCAATTGCACATTGAATACTCCGTCAGGTGAAGGTCGGACACGGATGCGGACGCTTTCATCGCCATAGGCTAGCCCGACATCCTTTGGGGTGCCGCTGGACTTCGTGTATTTCTTCTCTTCCCATGGTACGAAGCGGAGGCGTCCAGGGAAGCGTTTCACAGAAATACCGCGGTAAAAAGCGCCCAAGTAGTCGACAAAGTTTCCAATTTCAGGTGAGGCAAAATCCCCCACTGAAGATGCCTTTGGCTTTCTTGATCCCTTCAAAACGTTGTTTGGCCTGACCCATTCTTTCATGAAAGCCATATTAGCTGGAATCTCAGGGACGGCAGCAATGTAGAACGTCTGTCGCTGGCTTGTAGGCTTGTTGCGCTGTTTCTCAAGCAGCCAGGATCTGAAACTTTGTGGAGGCCATTTAGGATCCAAAGCCAAATCATCGTTAGGCAATACCAAAGGTCCAGGGAAAGTGGAGGGCAATGCAACATTGGAAACCTGCGCAGAGGCCAGTCTCTTTCCAGATTTTGTAGTTGCCGCTATCCTTCGGTGGACATTGGATCGTTCGAATCCGGCTTTTTCAGCGAAGGTTGAAGGCTCTAGTTGCAAGGCTTCGTGTGCACATTGTTCACGGGGAGCTGCCATAGCGAACACCAAGACAAACAAGATTAAGCGAGGAAGAAGAGAACTATCGGCTCTTCAATGATAGATTTAACGACACAGGAGATAGTTGCTGATGCCTAGTGAGGCTGTGCAATAGAAGCCCATCATTTATCTCAGCAAGCTCAGACGGGATGGGGAGAGAGCCTCGACAGGGGCAAGCCCCTGCTAGTCAATTAGAACCCTGGCTAGTAGCCTTAGTGGCGCAAGCCCCATCTCTCTAGCTAATAAGGGTATAAGAAAGGCTTTCTCTCCCTAGCTGTCTAAGGGACTTTTGTGATTTTTTAGGTAATTTTGTGGATCTAAACCTCCTCTACTATGCACCAGCTTAACTAAGAATTATTGTAGCTCTACCACTATACGTCTAAACTAGCTTAGATTTTAATAGGTAATAGAGAAAGTCTCTAGCTATATTCTATTATTTTTATAACCTGTTTCTAACAAGATTTAGCAAAGTACTGCGTTACTAAGTCCTGCGCAGGGCATTATAATAACCCTACAACTGCACCTTAATGCGACTCCCTAACTACATAATATATTATTATTAGAATTTAAGGCCTATCTAAGATAAGCCTATTTTTATACTATTCTAAATTCTAGCTAATTCTGTTGTGTTGTTGTTAAGCTTTAGCTATAAAGGCAGTTAGCCTAATTACCTACTTACTCTAACTTAACTAGCTGTTGTCTAAGAACTCTAAGAATCTAGGAGCTGTCTTAGACTAGCTCTATTAGGGAGCCTGCAAAATTCTAGGAGATTTGGTCTGCTAGTTGTTAAGCTGTAGTCTAGTAGATGGTAGTCTAGGGACTGTAGCGGCGCAGGCAAGACAATGGGTCCGAATGCGGTATGAATCCACTCAGAGGCATATGGGAGTGCGTGGGGACTCAGAGACCTGGGAATAC